GACCCGTAAACAATAACCACAAGTGATTTGCTTTCCTGGACCATTTTAACCCAACTTGACATTAACCACGAGCACTTCCCGCATTTTTTCACAGCTTCCGCTGATTTTTGCACTCTGATTGTGACCATCTTGCTTTTGTTGTGGCCATATAACCCCCTTCCGGAAGCAAACAAACGTATCGTGCCATTTATTATTCTCGCTTTATCAGTCTTGGCTTCTGTTATCACAACCTACATAGAATGCTTATTATCACGTTCAACGATGATCTGTAGCATCCCTTCACCTCACAATTATCTTTCGTTTTTATGCCCAAGTCGATGTACTAAGTCAGAGATTCATAAAGGTCCGTGGGTTGCACTGGGAATACTGCTCTGAAACGTTGCCCACTAAGATTTCAAATCATCCAGGACACTGCTGGTGCTCTTATTCTTCATTATCACTGCTTATGTCAATATGGTAACTAGTTATGAAGGTTCCGCAGTGCCGGCTCATCTGCTAATGAGTGCCCTTCATCTCATGACCATCCACCTCAACATCAACAATTTCGGCATGGTCATCGTCATCGTCGACTTGCATGTCATCCGTTGGCAGGATAAGGTTTAACACGAGTGCGGTGATACCCGACACAAGGACTGCAGCGAATTCAGCAAGTGGAGGAGTCAAGATGAAAAGGTCAAGTTGACGTACAGGGTGTTGTCAACACGATCTCAATCGAGTCAAGTAAGCCCTCCAGGCCGCTGCTTGGGTTCTTGACACCGTCGAACAGGTAAGTGAAGAAGTCGGGCACAAGCAGGTCTGCGATGCCGAAGGAGAGCGACGCGGCAAGGACGAAACGATCGCGACGAGTGAATCTGGTGTATGCGAGGACGCGAAGGCCCGAAACAGCGACGCTTGAAAACAAGAAGGTCGTCACGCCGCCCAGGACCGGATTCGGTACTAAGTAACCAAGGGATTTGTGAGTCGCACACACGAACAGCAATGAGACGCAGCACATACTGGAGAGGAAGACACCCGAGATCTTGCCTAAGACACCGAAGAGGATCAGGAAGAAGCAGCACCATCTCCCCGCGGTACGATTCGCACAACGCGTGACAGCGATGACACCATTATTCTGGGCAGAAACGGTTCGTCCTGCTTCTAGATTATGAGTCACTATTGTACTCACCTGAGCAAAGAGCGACAGCGGCGCTACCGTGAACAGCGCAGAGATGAACCCGCCCACACCATCACTCTGCCAGACCATGTCAGCTACACAGGCATCCAACACGAAGAGATGAGTCGCACCAGAACGCCGCCTTGTATCCGCGAGTCAAACTCCTCTCCATCGACAGCGACGCGTGATACCTCCGCAGATGCTGTGATATCTCCAATCGCCTCCATCGCCACGGAAACTTTACAAGGGTTGGTCCATTAAACCCTACTATAGACAACGATTGGCGACTCACTGTAAACTGCCAACATGGGCAGGATAGCAGGCGGATAAACTCTGATCTTGAAAGTATGGACCCTGATCACCGGTAAGCGTCCTGCACAGCTATAGAGCACGATCGTCTTACCACAAGAACGTAATCGCTGGTGCAGAGGAAATACTGCTGCCGTCGATATAGCCCACCGCGCCGGCGACAATGCATCCCACAGCGAGGCCGACAATGATGGAGATGTTCTTGAGGAAGGGCGAGCCAAAGAGCTCGGTTAGGATGATGCTAATAAACGAGAGGAAGCCGAGGCCGATCATATCTGGCGAACCCCATCTGCGAGTGTTGAGGAGCATTGTTAGCATTCGCACGTGCAGAGGGCGCAGAAGGGAAACTCACAAGGCAGGCCGTGGGGCGTCGTTGCTTGGACAATACATGTAGTCTCCCGAGGTCGGACGGCTCTCGCAATTCGACCCTCCTCCCCAGTCCGGGATGCCAGATGAGCCGACGAGGCTGGCGCCGATCATAAGAATAACCGTGCCTACAGACAACGTTCTACTGTCAATAGAAAAAATGTTGCTGTCATGCACGGAACGTACCTGTAACCATGGGAGGGAAAATGCGCTTCAGCGTGCGGGGCGGGATAAAGGACATGAAAATCTCGAGGAATGAACATATGAGGGATGTTCCTATACACCCACATATGAGCATGTATGAGCCGTCAGATCGAAGGGCACTGACCAAGTACATATCCATATGCATCGGGACATGCGAGCTTTGTGACCGTTCCATCTGCAGCAACACTCGTCGGACACTTGCCGTTGCTATACATTGTGTCAAAGATCTGCGATGCAATTGAGAAACGGATCACGGAAAGACTAAATTGGCTTCGAGAAGTACACACGGCGTCTGCAGTGCTTAGCGTAGCAAAACTCGTTCCGACGACAGAGAGCAGGCCCGTTCCAAGGTAGAAGTTCTTGAAGAGGTGTATGCGAGACATCTGAACAAGGCTAAGAATCCCTGCATCAAAATGAGCCACGGAAAAAGCCCGCGACGCACGCAAAACAAGCACTCACCGCATCCGATCAATGACGCGGAAATCATATACGATGACATTTCGCTATCCAAGTTCAACGTGCCCGCAAAGATGATTGGAGGAGTAATAAGGCCAGCGAGCATGGCCAATGCATGCTGCAGGCCGCTCGTCATTGCCAGCAAAATGGGCAGCTCGCTCTCGAGCGCGTAGAATGGCGGGCCCGTCCGGCGCTGCTTGTCCTTTCCTCCAAGACCAGGGATTGTAAACGGCAACGTTGGCGTGCACAGCCACACATAGTCGTACTCGCCGACCCATCCGTGCTTCGTTGTCACCTTCTCGTAAAGAGGTGTCGTGTGCGCGTGCACGACCTGGGATATGGACCGGCGCGTGTGAGTCGGTTCTGGTTCGGGCACCGGCTCGGGCTGTTCCTTGATGATTGAGCTCGACGACATGGCGGTGAGAATGAACAGCTAGACAAAGTGCTGCGCGAGAAAGAGCAGGACGGGCTCGGGTCGTCAGGAACAGGAGGAGGAGCGCACCGCGAGTAATGGTGATTCGAAAGAGGACAATTTGCAACTCCCCTGAAAAATCTCCAGCGGGTGTCCGTGCGCGCGTAGATAATGATAGCCTCGTAGCATCTCGCCCAAGGACATCCCAACGCCCATAGATAAGTCGCAAGCGAAGCCTAAGCCACTGTTCTTATCGCGTCGCGATGATTGTACGTAACGCACGTGAGATACGCGTCGCGCGCAACGGATGTTTATCTGTGCCCTTCGGGGAGACGATACTGCCCTTAATATCCTGCATCACAGATTCTAAGATCAGGGGCGAGGTACAAGGCACGGAGTCGGGCACATTGCGTAGATTGATACAAACTTGACCGACGCGCCGCTATGCCGAATGGCTCTACTCACAGATACGCTGCCGTCGCGCTCCGCCATCAGCGATGACAGGCTCCATACTTCGGCGTCATCGGATGTAGCTGGACTTGCATGGCATAGGGATAGACAACGAACAGCGGGGGATGCACCATGACCAGTCCTATATTGTAGAATGGAAGCACTAAACAGGTTTCCACATGAGATTGTCCGAGATGAGGATTGCAAGGGTCATACTATATTTCGTTCTGACGCGTCATGTCTCGTCGTCGCTCCCGCCAAACACCAACTCTCCATCGTCCAGCTCATCGCCGTCAAGGTCAGGAACATGCTGCGCGATCCTCGTCTCTGCATCACGCAATATTCGATACCTACGGACCGCCGTCCATGAATCTGTTCGCTCAGATGTAATAATGCGGCGCACCTGTGGAGTAGTTCCTCTATGCCCATCTTGGCCTCCCAGTCCACTCGCACCCACGTATGCTCCAGTCGCCCGCCGCGATACGCGAGCAGCGTCGGAAGGACGTCCGTGTCCACCGCGTCGTCCTCCCACCCCTCGCCGTCCTCCGCTTCTTCGTCTTCGTCCTCCTCCTCCACATCGGCGTCTCCATAGGGGTCATCCTCCGCATCCACACCGCCCCGCCCAGGGATGACGATCTGCCGCGATGGTCGTCGGGTCATTGGGAATGGCGCGAGACGACTTGGACGAGCGGAGGAGCCCTTCGTGGTAGCGAAGCCTATGGCACCTGCTCGTGCGCGGAGGAACTTTGTCGATGGGTATATGCGCGCGAGGCGGGACAGGGTATCATCGAGGGATGCACATCGGTCGAGCGACTGGCGTAGTCAATCAACAATGTGATAGTAGTACCAGCCGAATGTGTAGACTCACCGGATCGTATATGTGGACCAACACCCACACACTGCTATCCTCCTCGACCGCCTGCACGTAGCTGCGCACGCCCACCTCCATGAGGTGTCCAAAGTGACCCTTGCGGGATGCGCGTCCCTCAATCAAGCTCTCCGCCTTGCCTTCCAGCCTCTCCTTCTCCATCAACCGCTCCCTCTCCTCTTCCGCCCACGTCTTCCCCCCAAGACTCGCCTTCCCCATCGCGCGGTTCAGCTCGTTGATCTCCTCCGCCCGCTTCGCGCGTGCAATCGCAGCCGCCTCAGCATGGTCGCGGATGACTCCCTTTACGCCAGTACGCCCCGGGCCCATACCGATCGAGTCCTGCGTCTGCTGATGGGACGCGACCTGGGAATCGATTGCGCGCCGCCGCTCCGCGTCCGAGTCGTATTCGTACTCTGCGTCTGCATCGGGCCATTGCGCAGGGATGGGAGAGGGCGAACGAGAACGTTGGGGGGAGGAGGAACGCGAGGGAGGGTTGAAGAGCTTCCCGGAAAGTACGAGCTCCTCGATGTCGCCGTTCTAGAGTGCTGGAGGGATTAACTACGTATGCGAGCTCGGAGAGCGGTAAGCGTGCTAACCATGTTGCTTGAGTGCTGGCAGCCTTGGAGTGGAGACGAGTGCGAAGTGTGCGTTTGGCCGATGTTGCAGTGATACGCGCTGTGAACTGCGCGTCAGTACGCTTCTAGATTGCGCAAGGGCCTGCCGATGCTTACTAGACAAACGCAAGCGAGACGATGGCAGCTTCGGGGAGAGCGGAGAGGTTATGAGCAATACGGATCGGAGACCTCGCTGATGTGGCCCTTGAGTCGATCTCGCTCGCGCTCGTTATTTCTTGTCATAGCAATTCTCACGTTCGCGTATGCCAACACTTTTCATACGATGTCAATAAATTCTTCTCAGCGAACATTACATCGAGAATATAGACCAGCGTTCCGATGCAATAATGTCCTTAACCGTTATAATACTCGAGAAGTGCCGCCCTTGGTGGCAGACCCCTTGCTCGCCTTAGATGCCGTGTGACAAGCGCAATATGTGTGGTAAATGTTAACTTGTGTCTTGCCTTTATGAAATGAATTTACCTCCATGAGGGAAAATGAGTTTTTGCCACGACGCAGAAGCGCACGTGAGCGTCGATCATTTTGACCGCGCACCGCGGTTTAACCTTCAGCCAACTACTCTCAGCACTATGTCCGAAACCCCCCCCAAGCGAGTTCTCTTACGTTTTATCGGTCTTCTTCTATACTGACCCGCTCGCATACTTTTCTAGCGGATGATACCTGGGAGCTTCACGTCCAGTCCGAAGCGTTCGACAGGGAGGGCGCCGCGTACGCCAGCGGCCCCTCGTCCGAAGACAGCGACTCGGACCACTACTCCTCCAGTGTTTCTTCCCTCCAGTCCTCTCCCTACGATGTCTCCCATCTCGAGGCCCACCTCTATTACTTTGGCATCCGGGGTCCCAGATGCCTGGGTCCCAAGCTGATCTTCCGAACGTCCAAGGACATTTTCACAGCGCCCTCGGGGCCAGAGCAAGACGCTCGTCGCATGGAGCATCTTCCAGTCTACGAGCACGAGCACGACAAGCTCGGCAAGAATAATCTATGGGACACCATTCGTTCCAAGGTTCGTCGTGACTTTCTCGAAGCGCAGCAACCTGCGGACTGATATTCGTTTCAAGATTGTCGAACTCCTCGGCGAGCGCGACATCCAGCTTTCATCCGTCGACCTTGCTCGTTTCCGCTGGGTCGAGGATGTCGAGGAAGACGTGGACGCCGAGGAGGACGAGGAAGACGGGGAGAAGGACGACGACGGGAAGGCCGAGGACGTCGAGGATGAGGATTTCGAGGTCCCCCCGTACGGGAAACTCGTCACCACTCCCATCACGATTTGGGTGGGCGTCTTGCCCGGCTCTCTCACCGGTGAAGTCGCATATCACTCCTCCAAGGACATCCTCGCTCTCCTCAAGGAGCACGGCATCACCGACATTGAAGTTGCCTACCGTGAGTCGGTGGCTAGGGGCTCCGCCGGTCCCGAGCTGTTCGCCCCCGTCTTGGATCTCGACCCCCTGAAGGCCGTCATCGATCCCGTGACTAATGCACTCGGCCTGCCTATCGCTGGCCTCAAGACCCTCAAGAGCCAGGGGACGATGGGCTTTTACTTCAAGGTGGGTGACGAACTTTACGCCGTCACGGCCCGCCACGTCCTCTTCCCCGAGGAGGAGGGCAATAATGAATATCGCTACATCACCTGTACGTTTTTTCATCGACAAGATGAGCGCAGTTCCGACTAGTTACACCTACAAGCCCAGCCCAAGAAGCAGGTCGTCCTCATGGGCACCAGAGCTTTCACCAACTTCCTCGAATCCATCAAGGGCCATATTGGCACCATGAACAACACGGCCGACGTCCTAGAGAAGCGGGTTACGCTGCACAGGACGAGGGCGGAGGGCGGTGGCCCTGACGCTGAGCAGGCAGCACGCGATCTGGACGAGACCCAAGGCCAGCTGATCAAGACGCGAGAGGCGATTGCGGAGCTCAAGAAGTTCTTCGTGAAGGTAAAGAAGGAGTGGTCGACGACGAAGGACCGGATCATCGGCCACGTCGTCTGGGCACCTCCCATCAGCGTCGCTACCCCACCCCACAGCTACACCCAAGACGTCTGCGTCGTCAAGCTCGACAAGAAGAAGTTTTCGAAGAACTTTAAGGGGAACGTGCTCGACTTGGGTGCGAGCTGATTCGTCCCACCAAGGGCGTCCAATCTGACTGTTGATATTCCAGGGCCCGAAATCGAGGCCGGCAAGTTCGTTAGCTTAATGTACCCTCGAGTCGATGTGCCGTCCGAGTTCAACTATCCGGCCGACCGCCTCCTCAAGCTCCGAGGCATCCTCTCTGCCGAGGAGATTGGCAAGCCCAATGGCAAGGACCGCAAGGGCAACCCTGTTCGATACGTTATCAAACGTGGCCTCACCACGCTCACCACCATTGGCCGTCTCAGCGGATTCGAGTCCCATGTCCGCCGTTACTTCGGCGTGGGCACCCGCAACTCGGTCGAGGGTGCCGTCTTCCCCTATGACAACGACTCCGGTCCGTTCTCAAGGGGCGGGGATTCCGGTTCTGGTATCGTCACCGGCGACGGCAAGTTCGTTCTCATCCTCACCGGGGGAACAGGACCGACCGACTCTCCCGACATAACGTTTGGTACGCCAGTCCACTGGCTCTGGGATGTCATAAAGGCCGCGTTCCCCGGTGCAGTTCTCTACTGGGACGACGGCAACTAGGTTCGTCTCTTCCTCCTGCCTCGTCCTCTCGTATTCACAACTGACAACCTTGATGTAAAGGCATTGGCGAGACGTCTCGCGTCGTCTGTTTCTGTTACTGCTCCCCCTCCTCCATCGCCACGCTCCTTGTCGTTCTGCAGCTCGTTCTCGTTCTCGGCGTTCGTTATCTATCGGTCGGCTAATGGCGCAGACAGGTGCTTTTGACCGTCGGACGGCTATTCAGGTTCGTCCCTCTCCTCCGTCTCGTCTTTCGTGCTCATGACCAACGACGTCGTAGCCTGGGCCTCGGCGAGCCGTCCCACAGCGTCTGTTTCTGCTACCTCTTGTCCTCCGCTATTTCTCTGTCTGCGACTTGTTCTCGTCTCGACTCCGTCGTCTACTTGCTGGTTGTCGGTGTTTCGACGGTTGGATCGCAGTTCAAGTTCGTCTCTTTCTTCCGTCTTATCATTTCATACCGACGACTGACGACCTCGAGTCTAGCCCCTGGCCAACCTGCACGCTTCGTTTGCTCCCTCGACCTCGTCTCCACTCTCTACGGCTCGTAACCTATTGGTTGGTTGTTGGTGCGGTTGGTTCGTTTCTCACCCCTGCCTCGTTCTTTCGTACTCATAACTAACGATCTTGACGTCTAGGCCTTGGATCATGGGCTCGTCGTTCAGGCCTCAGGTACCATGATATATAGCTCCTTCGGACAGTATAGCTCCTTCGGACGATTGCACACTGACAGCGGAGATCTCATCCTTTTCACCTTCAAACTTTGCATGTAGACAGGCAATGATGTTGCCGATGTATTACAAGATTTGACGCAGATCAAATGACAGGAAAGAGAGATAAAAATCATTTACGCCAGAATCTGACATGACGCAAGTGAACACAACACAACAACTTGACTAGATTCGCGCAAATTACTAGCACTTTTTTTTACTGGAAACATATCACACCTTCCATCCTGGTCTTATCTCGCTGAAAGGTTGGATGGGAGGCAAGTCGGGCGACCGGAAGCGTGACGCTTCGGACTCGCTTACATAGTGCATCGGCAGTTGTGCCTGCTCTGGCGAGCAAGGGATTTTCCACCGCTGCAGTTACCGGCCTCAACGACATCCTAGCGAACAGCCATCTCATGTCGGAAAATCGATAGGGCAACATATGCCATCTAACGTGTTTACCGTTGCGTCGCCGAAGTGCTCACAGCGCCCTGATGGCAGGTGCCGAGGCTTGTACTTCGTGGCGTCTGTCACAACATAGCCACGGTAGATGAGGCAGGACAGCCTCAACTGTCGATACCATGTGCCTTCCTTGTATAGGTTGAGTTCCGAGAAAGTTGCGTGCACAGCCTCGGCGGTAGAATCGCGACCTGCGTGCCAGCCATTCAAAATCTTGTGCACGGCGATACAAGCCGCAACAAAGCACATCATGAGAAGATGTGAAGATGTGACGTTTGGAGAGCATTAGAGAATCTACTCACCGTATTGCGTGACGCGGCCGGACTTGACAATGCTGCATCACCAACGGTGTTCGCGGATTGCGCAAGGAGGAACGTATGGTATAGACAGAGCACTTCCTGCGGCAGCGCATGACCGCTGAAAGAAGTACTGCGTCTGCACGCAAAATAACATTTGCCCACCGGCTTGGAAATTGAGTGAATAAATCGGGGACGGTGGCGGCCAGACGCGGTCCTGACGCAGGTCACTCTGCGACTCGCGTTCCAGCTACCTCGGACCGGGTGCATAGCGTGGCGTCATTGAGCTTGCAATGAATGGGGGAAAGATCAAGTCAGGTGGGCGTGCATGGGACGTCTGTTGAAATCAGGTGGCTGACAATGGGCGCACGGACCGTTCATGGAGTTTTCTGCGGCGAGTTAGCGTTACAACAGCCGAGAGAGAGGGTGGGCGCGCCTTGTCTGGGAAAAGATCCGGACACGTTCGCGAATCGCACGGGGAAGTGGATGCGCTTCGGGTGATGCATCGAGTCGGAAGGAAGCAACATGCTCGCTCTCCCTGACTCTTAGCGTGCAGCGTATGTTCGGCCGCTAGAGGACCGGCTATATATCTGTGGACAGAAGGGGGTGCACAGGACGGTCATGGTTCGCGCAATATAACAACATGCGGGCAATTGAAACAGCGACGGATCACGTAGGTGGACTTCTGCATTGTACACGCTCGCGATATCCAATAACCGAGCGCACCTGACCGGGAGGGTGCGCACGTTGGGCACAGGCAAAAGGCTAATTGCGTGCTGCGTGCGCCGGGAGGAATGGGCGAGGCGAATCACGCGAGAGGGCGTTGGATGGTTTAAAGGTATGCGCCGCGAACGTGTAGAAGAGGATAGTCCCATGACGCAGGCACGGTGCACAAGCCCGACGAATAAAGCCAGCAGGGACCTGCGCGCGCGCGTACGCCCGGATCCGACTCTGCTTCCTCCTCCCTACTCGCTGCTGGACTGTGCGGCACACGACACATTTTGGAGAATTGCTGGCCGACCGCGACGGAAGCAGCACGGAATGGATGAAGAGAACAGCCGGCCAGAGAGACCGCGTCCGACGTGGGCACGGCGAGCGTCGATGCTGGGGGAGCGACTGGGGCTGACGGCGGTGCGGAACGACGACGACAGCGTGCACTCTGCGCTGGACTATGTGGAATCGCTGAGGAAGGGAGGTGAGTAGCCTTGCGGCAGGGCGTTATCTCGAGATAAGCCGCGTGCCTGTGCAGGCCGTGCTCGTCCGCGTGCGCCCTATCTCTCTCTCTTATCATCTCCCGAGAACATATACTTACCCGACCTGATTCCGCACTCCCATGGCAGACTCAGACAGCCTCACCGACAGCGCCCGCTCCGTCTCCCGCGGCAGAGACTTTGTGCGTTCTCCCTTTCTCGTCCGCTCAGCTCACTTACCCTCCACACAGCAATCTTCTGGAAGAGGCGGCATTGGCAACATCCGCCGTACCTCGCAAGAGCCAGGCTCCCCCGGCTACCCTCTCTCCCCAAAGTCCTCAATAGGAGACGGTCATGAACCCGTCACTATCGTCCGCGGCCGCGAACCTGTTCCCTCGGGTTCCCCTGATCGAGTAAGCATTGGAAGCGACGCTGTGGCCACCAATGCGTGCTCAAAATTTGCTCTCCAGGCTCGTTCAACAGGTCGTGGCGGTGTAGGCAACATTCGCTCCAGCTCCATCGCTCGCGCCGTCTCCCGTGCCCCTCGCGACCAGAACCACCCACAAACCACCACCCTCGTCAACGAACGCGCCCAAGCAGAGGCCGAGTATGAGCGCAGCGTTCTCAAGGCTAGCGAAGAGGCCGCCAGGGCCAAAAAGGTCTCTGACCCCCATTTGCGCACATCCTCTCACTCACTCGCGCATCATGACAGCATTCCTCTGGCCGCGGAGGCGCAGGCAACATCGCGAGATCAAAGTCAAAGTCCAAGACACGCTCGCAGTCGCGTGACGGTCTCCACCTGCGCTCCCGCTCCCGCTCAAAGGGCCTTCCCGTCCCACTTCACTCAAGCGGCCGTGGTGGCGCGGGCAACATCCAGCAGGGCTCCCCAGATGACGCCGAATACATCGACGAGCTCGACAATGAGGAAAGCGACCGCGCGCGTCTCTCGCACGTCGAAGGCATGTGAGTCGAACTTCTGATAATCTGACCGGCGGTGGAATTTGCCGTACCCACATCATTTCTTCACCATTCTCACGACGACGTCTTCGTTACTGACATCGCTGATTCCCCACCAGACACTCGACAGGCCGTGGCGGTTCCGCCAACATCACCGCCCTCCAGCATGGCCCACCAACGCCTCCCGAGCATTCACACCTTCATTCCACCTCCTTCTCCCTCCTCCCCAACGACGACGCCGAATCAGCCACAGCCGTGCACCAGCACGCAGAATCCACCGGCCGTGGTGGCTCGGGCAACATCTTCCAGTCGCGCTCACGGTCCCGCTCTGCCTCAAAGGAACGCGAGCAGGCCGCGCATGGGCTCAACAAGCTCTGGCAGCGCGTGTCTCGCTCGCGCGGCCGTGCCCCGCGTAAGTCGGAAACCTCCAGCGGCTCACTCAGCCCAACGACGAATGGTGTCGACGCAGACCTGCGCGCGATGCGGCTTTCAGAGGACTCGCGCGAGCACGAGGCCGAGCATGCCGCGAACGGTGGCGCACCGGCCGACGGTCCCGCGCCCGGTACGGAGGAATGACTCGCGGCACGGCGCGTGGGTGTATCAGCGCAGCGCAAGCGGCGCGCTGTGTCTGCGACGACTGGACGACGTTTCACCCTTGTTCCTCGTCCTCCACCCGCCGTACCTGTCCCCCCTGTCCCGCCGCTCCCCGATTCGCTCCGTTCTCCCTATGCCTCCTCTCCAAGCTTCAGGCCGGTATCCACGGCGCTCACTGCGTCGAGCGTCGGCGTGAATAGCTATGCAAGCACATCCGAATCATCTTTGTTCCTGTCCTCCGCGCGTGCATCATCATCTACGTCCATCTCATCTCTGTCAAGCTGCGACGGTGCGGCGCCATCCTTTTCTCCTCGTGCAATGCCGGCATACCCTCCCGAAGAAGACTCGCTCGGCGAACAGCTCGCCGCGCTGCAACTCAGCAATCGCGACAAGCGCCGGTCAAGGACGCTCACCCTGCAGACACTACACGAGGATGAGGAGTATGTGTCATTCGTTGATCTTGATTGGTACTATGACGGATAGCATAGCCTGCCGTGCTCGCTCTCAAGCACGGCGTTTCGTTTAACGCTCTCCCTTCTCTGCTTTGGCTCGTGCCTATCTTCGATTCGCTCATTTTGTTGGATTTCCACCATGCTGTCTTCGTCAGCGCCCACGAAACGCTCGTGCGGTGCTGTCCCACGCATCTCACCGCTCTTTCCCTCTATGTTTATGTGCCTTATCGTTATTGTTGTAACCTGCTCTGCGCTACGTCAAGCGTGCCCTCAAAAGCGGTGTCGCCCCTTACTCCAAATGCCAATGCCCAGCGATCAAGCTGTTCCACGGCGACATGTGCATGCGGACATTGTGCGCGTCTGCGAAGTTTGCATGGCAGCTCTGCGGTCCGGGCTTCTTCCCTTCTTTCGCGTCTATCAGTTGGTCTCGCGCACAGGTCCGGTCCTTGTTCTTCCTTGGGGCTTGCCGTGCTTACCGTGCTTACCGGGCTTTGCATTTTTGTGTTCCCTGTCATCGCTTTGTGGCCTGCCAGTTACCGGGAGCGGGTGTCTGCCCTCATGCAGTTGCAGACTACGGCTTCCGTTCATTCGCATTGGCGTGGTCGGATGTGGTCTATGCGAGATCCGCCGAACGCTTCTGGTGCCGGCATTCATTTTTACTGCAGCGCTTAGTGTGGCCGCGCCTTTCTGATGGCATCTGTATACATTCCATCCAAATCTTTCGTCTGCTGGCGTCTCGACTATCGCTGACCTCCTCGTTCCACAGCTCTGCCTGCCTGCGTAAAGTCAGACAGGGACGCTACGAACAGTGTCAGATGATAGCAAACAAGCGTGGGACGACACTCACGACGAGGCTAATCGTACAAACCGGGCGTGCATGAAGGGAGGGGCCGACGGGAGAGTTTGAAAGGGGGCGGGATGGGAGAACTCGACGGAAGGCAGCAATGGAAGTTGTACATGTAACCAAATCGCGCAAGTTAATCTAAAGTGAAACGATACGCAGAGTCGGGTGAAGGGATTGACCGGGTGCTAGTGGGCAGATGTTGGCCTCCGGCCGACGTCTGCGTCTGCGTTCCGGACTCTTGGAGGGCGGGCGTGTGCTTTCCCCGACCGGCGACGAGCTACCGTTGGCGAGCGGAACCAGGTCGTCTTGAGTTCTTCCTTCAGCGCCTGAGTAGGTTACCCCTGGGGTCTTTTGTCCGGCATGCCGCGGCATGACGATTATGGATAATCGGCCCGAGCCCAATTCATCTTGGCAGACATCACAATTCTTGGCGGATGTCACAGCTACCCATAATTCTCTGCTGAGCATGCTGTGCGGAAGTTTAATTAAATATCCAAATCTGGCAGGCTTTCCGGTGTGGCTGAGTGTCTGGTAGGAATGGCTTGAACTTATAGCATCATGACCATGGAGAATGTGATTATCGTTGGTGCACATCACGGTCCACCAGATGACATATTGATAGTCAGAATTTTAATAATGTAATGGGCAGATTGTGTGAGGGATGAGATATGAAAGTGAAGAAGTATGAGATTTCAGATTTGAGTGAGTAGCTAGGCAGCAAGGGAGTGCAGGCCAATATAATCAGTTTGATAAAAAGGAGCAAGACAGGGAGGTGGAAACTATTTATTGAGGACTATGGAATTAGCTGAGTGCGTACATAGTATCTAAAATGTTGATGGCTAGCTAAATGAACCAATGGATGTGGTGCATTATAATGCACTGTCACACATGAGACAAAGGGCAGCAGCACAAGCAAGGCAGATGATGAAAATGCATGAAAAATCACAGTACAGAGAATTGGAGAGACAGATCTATGGCCATTGTGCAGTACTGCGGCATGCACCCCCCAAGATGTTTTTGACCCTGTAATATGCCGTCAAAATCCGATTTAGTACGTTACAAATTCCCTTTTATGGTAATGAATTCACAATATCAAACTGAATTTACCTCGAAAAAGCGCTGTCGCAAATGGAAATGGGTCTCTGTCTGAGGTGATATAGAATGAGGACACTAAGGATGCAATGCTTTGTGAGTGTTGCCAGTAGGTGGCTACATAGTACATATGCCGTTCGTTTTGTACATTTATTTCAATGTCTTACCGCACTCTTAATTTTCATACCCATTCACTTAAATAAAAGTACAAAAGGAATGGCACAGCCACCAGCCATCAAAATATTACATAATAATAGAAAACCGACAAATGGACATAATCACGAAGTCACATATCAAATGATCAGAGGGACCCCGTCATGCGCAAGCGCTGAAGGGAAAAAAGTCGAGACGACCTGGTTTCGCTCGCCAACGGTACGAGCGACGCACCAAAAGGTCGGCGAAAGCTAGAAGGTCTCCTCGAACCGGAGATGGCTTCGCGAGAATCGGCAAGCGAAGTCTCAAGATCTCACCTTCCAATGTCCAACAACATGCAGCGACATCGGCGTGATCCTGGGCGGTGCTCAGGGCAAGTCTGATATCAAAGATATGTGGACCCGGTGTCTTGATTGGGGGCCATGATGCATTGCAGGATAAGCGGGAGTTGTGCGTTAGGTTGCCACCAGATCGTTATCTGCATGTTTTGAGAAATCATGCGCATGCATGCTTTTGCCCGATGGTGAAATTTTGAAACATGGCCGCTGAGATGGTCGCGGAGTGGTCTCCGTTACATCCCTGTTACCGAGATCCGATTCGGGCGGGATCGTAAGAGACAAGAGGATACTGTTGGAAGGAGCCGGTTTCCGGGCTCTTCTGGTATTGAGCGCGCTTAACGCGTCGGGAGGCCGAAGGCCGAATGGCGGCTGAAACTCGTCGGAAAGGTGGTACCCTGAAAAAATTAGATGATGCACGTGACGTACGCTCGGCGTAGCTATTTGCTGTATGTACTTAAGCAGCGGACGACTGCGCTGAACGGCAGTCGTTTGTACACCCTATACGCACTCTAGTCAGGTCCCTGGGGCCCGAATTGGGTCAGCCATCTCGTCTGGCGACTCTGGTTTCGACACAAACGACTTACCAAACCTGCTTCATCTCCCCACTATTCTCCGAAGCCCATCTCTAGACGACGACAACGTTACTCACCTAGGCAATGGCCGACGAAGCAAACTCTGTCAAGTTCCCGGTCCTCAATGAGACCAACTACACAGACTGGGTCATGCGCATGGAGGCCGAGTTAGTCAGGAAGGGATTGTGGTCAGTCGTGCAGCCGGAAGAAGGCTCAGAGGGCGAGACAGCGGCGGAAAAGGAGACGAGGGAGGAGGAATGGCGTCGGCAGCGCTCGAGGAAGGACATGGGAATTGCCCGAGCAGAGCTAGTCAGGCGCGTGACAGATGGACAACTTGTGCACCTGGTGAGTAAGGACCCCGAAGTCTGTTGGGAAGTCCTGGAGCAGGTTCACCGGGCGCATGGTTTTGCAACACGGATGGCTATGCGAAGGAGGATGAATCGGATGGCGAAAGGGAGCGAGGAGCCGATGTCGACGTGGATCGGACGCGTCAAGACACAGGTCCGACATCTCCTCCATGCCGATATCTCAGTAACGGAAGAAGATCTCGTTTTGGCACTCACCTCGGGTCTCGGCGAGCGCTACGAGCCACTCGTCATGGCACTGGATGCACTACCAGCTGATCAACTCACCACGGAAAATGTTGTTGCCAAGTTACTCAATGAGGAGATGAGGCAGACAGATGTGGAGGAGGCATCACTGGATGCAGTGGCCAGAGCGACAGCGTACACAGCTAGAGCCAAGGGACAGGAAGGAGGAAGGCTGAGCCTGGGGGGATCTCCGAAGAGCCAGGGGCAGGAAGAACGGAAGCCAAGACCACAGTGCTACCGATGCGGCAAGAAGGGCCACACGAAGCGCGAGTGTAAGACGGTGTTCAAGGAGGCCGAGAGCTCAGAAGATGAGAAGGCGAAGAAGAAGGACGACGTGCGGGCGAACGTAGCGCATACGTCAGAAGGCCACATTCGGCTCTTCTAGACCAGCGCAGGGTTGATGCTCGAGGGGGCGCAGTATCCTACGTGTTCTCGCGCGAGGGGGCGTGTTGGAAGGAGCCGGTTTCCGGGCTCTTCTGGTATTGAGCGCGCTTAACGCGTCGGGAGGCCGAAGGCCGAACGGCGGCTGAAACTCGTCGGAAAGGTGGTACCCTGAAAAATTAGATGATGCACGTGACGTACGCTCGGCGTAGCTATTTGCTGTATGTACTTAAGCAGCGGACGACTGCGCTGAACGGCAGTCGTTTGTACACCCTATACGCACTCTAGTCAGGTCCCTGGGGCCCGAATTGGGTCAGCCATCTCGTCTGGCGACTCTGGTTTCGACAGATACACACAGTGAGGGAGACGCAGGGATGGGGCACTTCTTGATGGCGAACTATGACGGTGCCAGAAGAGCATTTTAGAATATATAACTATCGCACATACAATAGCGAATGTCCGTGAGATCGTACGTTACAACAAAACTTGAGCTATACTACAGGCGTTGACAAGGATACATGGTGAGAAGCGAGTCCGAGAGCAAGAGCAACAGCGATAGCGGAAGAGAGCATGAGACGAAAGTCCGAGTAAGGGAACGAGTGTGGACGAAGCATGACAAGCACAACAGACAGCACAGAGTTGCAATCAAAGTCGCCTGATGGACGTCGTAGAGTATGATAAGCCGTGATTGCAGCTCACAAGGCACTTCCTCAAATGATTTCGCGAGGAGTAGCCAGCAGTTGTCGCTCAACAGTATCGCCGTGCCAGTCCGTTAGCCGCTTCAGATGCGGTGTATCCCCAGAACGCGAGACCACTTTGAACCAGACAAAGTGATAGTTTGCCCAGGAATGGTAGCTTGTGGTGAGATTCAAACCGACGTATTGGAGCGTTTTGATCTCAGCAGCAACAATAGCTGCCAGTTTCTGCACGGCGTGTTCTCTACCGGCATCAGTGGTGCTGCGAGCAACCGTGATGCCGACCAAAGGAAGCGCCGCCAGCAATGAAACAATTGTCCCCTGTGAATGATGGATCAGCAATATTCTTGGATGAACTTAGTCGCAAGAGGATACATACAATCCAGGACTCGATATCTTCCGCGTTGGCTCCCGACGGATATATCGGTTCATGTGCAAAAATCTGCATGAAGCGTAATGAAGATACGTTGTTTGCGATCCACTTCAACATCCTCATGTTGGTATAGCATGTCAACACGGCAGGCGATGTTTGACGGAGCAAGGCCATCGTTCCGGAGCTCCATATGTCGAAGAGAGGAAGCGCCAGTATCTCCAGGTCATATCGCAGCTCTAAGCGGCGGACAGCGCAACAAAGAGGGGCTGGGCTTGAGATGGAGACAAAGTCAAGGGCGGGCCATTTAGCTGGCGTTGTGGCGCTGTCTTCGAGGAGCGCGCCTCCAATATACAGGGTGCGAACGTTGGGGAACGTTTGGACCAACGTACTGAGCCTGTAAATGTCACCTCGCACTTCAAGCCTCCGTACTTTCGGCCAGACTACATCTGATTTCAACTCCTCCATGAAGTGAAACGGCCGTGTAAGGCTCAGGCTGAGAACCGAGGACGTGAAGCTGTGCAGGAACTCAGCTTGCCTGTGGTTAGTGGACGTTTTGTCATTAACAGACCTCGCAAATTCGAGCTCGAGGTTTTGAGGGCCGCTCTGCATCATTGAGAGCACACGTAATGCATGCGGTCCTACGCCACGTAATCGTAGATCTTCAAGAGAAGGTAGCACAAGAAGTGCATTGGCTAGTTCTGGCGCAGATTGCAAGAGGTGCTCCGCTCGATATACATCGATTCGTGCAAGCCGCGAGGCTCGCTGTAAAACTTGCGCCAGAAGAACGGCGGCGGAATAGTCGTACTCGACCCGAAGGCAGGCCTGGCCGGAGCCAGTCATGAAGGCCGTGTTGTGAAGTGTGAGAGCCTTGATACATGGGATGCGTACTTTGCCATCTGCCAGGACATACGAGCAGAACTGAGCGATTTGTGCGGGCCTTACCCTGCACCATTCATGACCAAGGACGACGTGGGATAGAAAGCGAGGTATGGCGATATCGTGCGCGGCACGGCATGTCATTGCGAGCTGAAGCGCGTCGATTGGTTGGATGTACCCAAGGACGGAGTACACGACATCGAGATTGAGTGAAAGAAAATCCATAGTGGGAAACGAGGGTCGGTAGCTGCAATTGCTTCCTTGAGAAAGGGACGACAATTGGGGACAGTCAATCACACGGAGCAGCTACCTCCACAAGCGACTGACCTGGAATTGCAACTTGTTCCCAATCGCAAGGACGAGGTTCCTCCCGATGAAACGTCGCACGAGCCTGCTAATGACTGAATGCGTCCTGCACAACTTGATACCTTCCGAGCTGCTGGTCAACAACTGCTACACAGAATGAAGCTTGACGTTGGCTCCAGTGGCCGAACGCGGTGGCTGCAGGTCGAAGGGTAAGCACCATGACCGTACACGTGTAAGGTCACAGTACTCAGTATTTGTGGCGAACAAACATCAATCGAGTTCGCGACTGGCCGCTACAGGTTCTGTTCAAACTTCAACGTAGCCTTTGTTCCGCAAATGCGAACTAGGATGGCGACCAACGTTGGATGACTCGGTCACAATGGAGTTTGTCCAAGATACGCTTCCAACTGTTAAATCATGGAACATTGATACTGCCTCGCTGTGTACTTCAACATCAAGTTTTACCAGAAAATCTAGAGCATCTTTTGCCGATCAAGGTTTATTGCAATGGCATCAAGCCGCATAATTGGTGGTTCCTATACAAGAGGAATAGGCCGCAGATAAATTGGTGCGAGCGTTCACGAACCTGCACCAGCATTTCTTCGGCATTGCTGATGCAGCAGATCTCATTGCGAAGAACAGGGATGAATGAGCAACCAGTACTGACCTGTATCTTTCGAAGTATAACTATTGCTATCAACAAAGATATGCACAGTGAGCCACAATAGACGGACTCGCAAGGAAACTTCAATACTACAACTATCTGCATGTTGATCTATTTAGACAGTCTCTAAGATTTATTAGGATTTCACAGCCAAGTCTTGAGATGGAAGCTGCTATCTGTCAGTAAATATTGGTGACTTCTTCCGAAGATACTCGCGCTTGGCTTCCTATTTCCTATGAGCTGTTTTTCGGTCTCCCGCCAAATAACGGTCAGCATCAGCTGCTCATTGTCTGCATTCGCGAATGACCTTCTTACAGTATCCGATACTTCTTAGTATGTTGATAATGTCCACTGAATATGATCGAGCAACAGGATCAAGGTCTCGGTGAATAATACCCTTCGCACGATTCGGCGGCCATAAGCACTTAGTTCGACATGCCATCTGCAATCCTCATGTATCTCTCCTCTTGAAATCTCTGCTTTCCTTTTTCAAACATATTCTGAGCTTGCCAATACCTGTTGCTCAATGTGCGGCTGCTCTGGAACGATCTTACCACGGCACCGGAGGAAAGCCTATTTTTGGTGGGGGACCCGCCCCATACAATTACTCGTCCACCAGCATTCCCATCAGTGCTTCTCGCGATAGCATGTGGTTCCCAAATTGCCACGCTGGATTCGTATCTCCAAACAGGACCCAGCTTACCCCACTTGTAAGGCTTTCGAATGAACTGATCAGCTTGTCAGACGAAATGATGCCCCCTGCAATCAGAGCTCTGTTGCTCGAGATGCATTGTCACTCGATCTGACGTTGAACATAGTTTCACGGATGGGAAGTCGCCTACGTTATCTGATATGATACTCATCGCCGTGTGGAAGCCCCTGGGAATTCCACTACTTGGTCAACCCTAGTAGATGCAGAAACACAGCTCAGCATGTTCCGTAGCGAGGCGGTGGGAGTCTGACACAGCTTCCAGTAGATGAGCGCCGGCGATCAGCGTTCCTTGGCTACAATGGTGACGCCTCCTGGGAGTTGGGGGGCATATTTGATAATTTTTCGCCTACCACTTATGTTCCTGCAGAGTATCGACCGCGCAAAAGAAACGGCCTCCATGGGCCCAAGAATGATCTCGTGGAAATGAAAACTGAGCGCATATGAAGCCCCGTTGAGTCATTCCCACTGATGTCAAGCGGTAGACTGCACAGCGTCAAAAGAAATACCTCCATTCCCTCATTTTCGTAACAACTTTGGTTTAGACCTCTTGCTGCGGAAGAGTCTGGTCGAATCGTTCCGTTGGGGAGAGCCTTACCGCTACACTCCCCGCACTTCCTCTAGATCTTCCGTGGGCGTGACATCGTTTTCACATTCATTCTCACCATGGATACTGGATTCCTCCTGCATTGCAGGCAGGGTCAGCCTTGGGAAGTGCCGCTCTTTGGAAGATATAAATACTAGGGTCCCCGACGAGGACCTTCCCGCAGCCGCTCGGAGTTCGCAGCCTCCCTCCTCCCGTGCTCCATCACTGATGGCATTGCTCTCTCTCAACTACGATGTCCTTAGCGAGATTGTCGCGCAAACCGACGCGAAGTCAGCTCTCAAGCTTTCCATGGCGTCACGGAAGGCATACGACATCGGTCTGCCACAAGCTCTCTCCTGCATCACGCTTTCCCGTTCCCAACGACAAATCAGTGCCTTCTGCCAATTTGTCCTGGCAGATCCGCAAAATCGGCTGCCATGTCTGCGCGAGCTAATCATCGAGAGCCCCGCATTCGGAGTAGCGCGCCACATCGAGTTCCAGAGGAACGCAGACTTCAGTGCGGCAGCAGAACTGGCAGATGTTTTGGAGGGCGCTCATCGCCTCAAAGTGCTCTCCATAGCATGCTTCGAGGATCTCGTAGCGAAGGAGCCACGCGTCGGAAGCGCCGTCTGTGCGTTGCCGGACCTCACGGATCTTGGCCTGCACAATTGCGGCCAGGCAGCCATAGCGCTCCTTCCAAGACTGCGTAGTAGCCCTCATAAAGTTTCAATAACGATTCTATTCGACAAGAAACTCCCCACCTTGTTCCAACGACTCGTCCACCTTCGCCATCTCGAATCGCTAGAGATCTCAAACCTAGACGTCTCGGATGGTTCCCAACCGCACGGAGAGATTCACGAGCTTCCTATCGTGCCTTCTGTGCACTCATTCACTTTGAAGGGAAGCACGGCGAGGATGTCACTGTTCGTGAAAGCCATGCCTAATTTGCGCGACCTTCACATATCAGATGTCTACACCAAAGTGGAGGAGGACTCGGATCACCTCAAGGATGGGTGTTGGATGCGTTTAGCGCAGCTTCGCGCCAATGTCCCGGATCTACGCTGTTGGAAATTTGTCTATCCTGTCGGCTGGCTGCAGCTGGGACTCACTGCGTATCACTATGACGATGCTGTGAACACGGTGTCTCGCTGTTCACCCATCGTGCTGTCGCTGCCTGTGGAGACAAAGGTGGATGCGACATTCTGGACGCGATTAGTAACTGCCGCGCCTCGCCTCCGTCATCTGGAAATTTGTCTGGATGAGGGCAAACTGCGCAAACTTAATTGGTGGATAGTGCGTACCACTGAGGGCTACGACCGCAAATGTATCCTGATTGATATGATTACAGGACAACATTCCTCAAATCTTGGGCACTCTGTCCATAACGTCATTATTCATATGCGTGCGACATACCCACTGGGTCGATTCTCCCATGGAGTGTCCAAAATCTGACTGGCTAAATGATGCGAGCTGCCGAAGGCTGCAAGAGCACATCCTCGCCTCGATGCCAAGTCTGCAGTACGTCGCATTAGCCATAGCGACAAAGGGCGAGGACCCCTTCGAGTCGTCTTCGCGTATCCACCCAAGCTGGTGGCGGATCAGGAATGATTCGGGCAGGCGCAAATGGGAGGCCATGTCGTCAGACGTGGGCGAGCGGCTTCGAGATCACCTCCTTCAGGCTCGATTCAATTCGTTGTCACATGAATAGCGAGTGAGCGTCATTCACACATTGGACGGCAGGCCTCCCGTTACACATCTTCAGAATTTTACCCGCATCCTATATGTAAATGCCTCACGTCGCGCTTGTAATGCAGTTTGATATGCATTGAGAGCAACCAATAGAAACGGCACGATTGCACTCACCACAGATCACGATGGCGAGATGCCCTACTGAGATGGTGTGGATCCTTCTCGCTAGTCACGGATCGTCTGTCAGAAATGTGGCCGGTCTTCTTCCCAGACCGAATCGTCCTGTAACAAGTAGGAGACCATATTCATATTAGAGAAGATCATCAGGGTCATTAATACTTCGCAGTAGGTCCAGACACAATCGAGAGCGATACAATGACAAGAATAAACGTAACGAACGGTATCTTGACAGACAGAAAACGAACTGAGGAAAGGCGGAAACCCAGAGAGGGACTGCGAAAGGAGTACCAGCGAATCGATGAGCGAGTGTATCGAAGACGAATTTGCTGAACTCGACCGTGCATCGGATGAGGATTGTTTTGACTGGATCGGTACCATCATTCATGTTTCCGGTTTTACGCGCCATATCACTGCCGCAGCTGCCACACTGAGAACAAGTACACCGACAACTGTCGACAATGTATTGAACTGCGGCTGGTGGAACGTAAGCAAGAACTTCCTCAAGCAATAGGAAGGCGACACTCACCAACTCCTTATGAGGTGGTTTCCCACGAGGTTCTGTGGCCGTGGCAGGTGCATCGCCAGGTTTAATTATTGGCTGGTTGAGTACCGACGACTCCGGTGTGATGGGGAAGGGCATACCCTGGGCATTGCTTCCAGAGCTGCTTCCATCCTTGCTCGATTGCTCATTTGCATCGAGAGCAGAGGGCGTCTCCGAATCACTCGAATCATCCATAGGCCACGGCGAGCGCCTGCGCGTCTGCGAGTTCGGATACGATCGCAGGCCCTCCTCGCCTCCCGACGCAAACGAAGTCGACGGCCCGGGGTGTGCCTCCAAACTGGCACCAGGAGACCCTGATCGTGAGCGTGAACGTGAACGGCCCCTCGACGAACTGGCACGTTTTCGTCTCTGCCTGGGACGACTCGACTCGGCCGAGAGGCTTCGTGGACTAGGCGGGGTGACCAAACCGCCACTATGGTTCAGCTTGGCGCTGCCGTTTGGCTGCGAGTGCTGCATCGCCGTTAGTGTAGCGATGCCTGCCTCTACCTTCGAGACGGCACTTCCGAACCCGTCCTCCACAGAACGCACGCGCGTCTCCCACTCCTCGCGGGCGAGGCGGAGGCGCTCGCGCTCTTCCGTCCACTCCTCCTGTGCACTGCTCCACTGATCTTCCATGCTCTTTTTCCACTCGCTGACCATGTTGGTCAAGAAATCTCGCTCCTGAGCACGTTCTTCCTCGGCGATCTGCGGCGATTGCGTAGGAAGCTCTACATTCTTCACGACTTCCGCTAGCTGCTGTGTCGCCTCGTTTTGCAACTGCACTTGAGCTTGCGTCTCCTGGACCATAGTTTCCAAGGCAGTCACCTTCGACTCCAACGTTGAGATGGTCGATTGCGCAACGCTGTGCTGAGCTTCGAGCGTTCGTGAGAATGCAAGAGCGGACTCGAGTCGATGAGACAATGTCGCCAATCGCTCAGAGAAGTCTTCTGGTACTGCCGGAGGAGGGCCAGGCGCAGGTGCAGATGGAAGTGAAGGTGAAGGCGATCGTGACCGCACTTCAATTTCGCGATGATGTGTCTGTTCTTGCTCATCATCATCCTCGGGCATGCCCATGGTAGGCTCAGGTGTCCTCGGGCGATCGAACTCTTCTCTTCGCCTGCGCCGCGCATCATCCTCGTCCTCCACTGCGAGTTGCTCCTCATCCTCCTCTTCCACACGGTCTAAATGGTGCGAAGTTACCGTAGAAACGCTCCGCGCATCGTCTTCGTCGGACATATACTGCTCGTCCTGCTCCTCGTCATGGTGAGAGTGCTCATGACGTGGCTGAGCGGGGCTCCCAGACTGCCGTCGCAACAACTCCATCTCACGTTTGCGCTCTTCCATCAGCTCCCGCATAGAGCTCACCTCGCGCTTGATCGCATCGTGCTCGGCGAGCCTGCCTTCGAGTGCGCGGATCTTCTCGACGTAACTGGCCAGCGAGATCTGCGTCTCACGAAGCTGTGATTGTAGCTCGTGCAACGTAGACGCTGAATCTGGAACGGACGACGCTTGCTGTTGCTGTTGCTGTTGCTGCTGCTGTTGTTGTAAAGCTGCCTCTTGTTGTTGCTGTGTTTGTGGTGGCATAATCTGTGGAAGAGTCGACGGATATGGAGGGAGGTTTGCGGGCTATGCACGAGGCAGGGGAGGTCTTACTTCAGAGTGAACATCACCCATAAATGTAGCACATACGGGGTTCCCACCGAGGGTCTCATGAATCTCATTCATAGCCCCCGACAACTGGTGCAGCTCCGCGCCCGTATCGCGACTCTTCTGCAGCTCGCCCTGCAATCTACTAAGGATATGATCAAACGTAAGCCCGCTCTTCCCAGGGGGGCGCATATTCGAGATCGAGCCCATATTGAGCATGCCGGGCTGCATGGACATCCTCCGCTGCTGAGCCGCATTCCCGTTCGCGCCTTGCTGCTGCGCGTTGCTGAAGAACGCGCCGCCGCCGGGCGCCTGGCCAGTGACGGTGCCGTATGCGGGCGGGTTCTGTGCGGCCTCGGCGCGTGCGGCAGCCTGCGCGTCCTGCTCGGTGAAGACGCACATGACGCGCGCGGCGACCTTGTGATGGATGATCGTCTTGTTGTCTTCTCCAACAATGTCGATGCCGAATTCCTGTGCGCGAGTGCGAGGCGCGGTGAGCGGGCGCCCGGCGTCGCAGTCAAGCGGCGGAACGAGAGAGACGTACTACGATGTCGTCCGACTTGAGCTCGAACGGGTCGGACTCGAGGCCCTCTGGGCTGAGTCGCTCGCCATTGATGAAGGTACCGTTGGAGCTCTTGACGTCCTTGATGAATATCTGCATGGCGTCGCCCACACCATGAGCATCGCAGCCACCGCGCGACGAGCTTAGCCCGATCCACGCACCTTTCCGCCTTCCTCCCAGACTTCCGCATGCTGCCTGCTGAGGACCTTGGAGTCAAAGTAACCGTTGCGCTCTGCGGGTACGGTCTTGGCATTGGTCTGGCGGCCGATCTTGACGCGCTGGTTGTTGATGAGGGAGATGTGCTTGGGGGCAAAAGACTCGTTGAGAGGGTAGAGGTAAAGAGCGGGGAGGGGCACGGGGGCCGAATGCGGCGTGGAGAACGGCGTGGGCATCGTGGACGCCGTCGACGACGATGAGGACGCACGATGAGCGTTTGTTTGGTCCTGATTTGGAGCGGCACCTCTGACTCTCGCGACACGTGCTACCAACCGCCCGCGACGAGCCACTCAACGCATGCGCATGATCGTTTTGTGGGAACTGTTGTACATCGTCGGAAAGCAGGCAGCGAACATAAAAATGCACTTTTTAGCGCAGGCAAAAGCAATCGTACAGCAGAGATTGGTCCGCTCCACGCAGAAAAAAAAGCAAGGATATATGACGGATAAGATACAAGAGCAAGCACCGTCAGTTCAGCGATCCAAAAATTCCAAGATCAACGACAAAACCAGACACAAACCAAGACCTTGTTCTTTCTATATTGTTGGGCAAATCCCACGCGAAACGCATGCTCCCTATCCGCAAATGAGCCTCACGAGCTGACGCGTTCTAACAAGCGCATCTCATGCCGCACCGCCTCGCCGTGCCCGCTATTCAGAATCTCCAACAGCGGCTCGCCGCCCTCCATGCGCATCTTCACGCGGAACCACGTCAACGAGCGTCCCGTACCGCTCGAGAAATAGCTCTTCACAGGGAGGCCAATGCCGACATACTTCAGTGTTGGGATGTGCATCGCCGCCGCATATGCAACCTTGTCGATCGTCTCGCGCACATTGTCACTGCGCTTGCGGGGACTCCCCTGCAACGAGATGCCCACGAGCGGGAGCTTCGCAAGGCGCGGGATGTGACGGTTCTAACGACGCCTGTCAGAACCACCCCCGTAAGAACACGCCGACCGGCTCACCATCCAGAACTCGATATCGTGCACCTCATCGTGGACCCTGAGTTCACGCGGGTTGAACTCAATCTCGAGGAAACGCACTTGCGGCATGACGTTGACAAGTTTGTCAAGATAATCGCCGCCAAGCGCCGCCTCGAGGACGCACGATAACACGACGGGCTTCGTCTGCCTGACGAGCTCAACCGTGCGCGCAATGACCTGGTTGGAAGAGAACCGCTTGAGCGTCGTGCCGAGGGTGTACTTGAGCTCGAGCCTGCGAACGGTGCACGAGAAGAACGGGTGCGGGATGCTCGTCTCGACCAAATCAAGTCCCGGCCAAGACGCAGAGGGCGTCTCCTCCTCGACGGAACACTCCGGGGCGAACGTGATAGAGCGCACGTTGGGGAACTCGCGGGAGATGGTGGAGAGGAGTGGGACGCGCCCGCCAAGACCGAGCACGCGGACGCCGTGTGACACGTAGCTCTCGCTGAAGCTCTCGAGAAGGCACGCGCACTGCCAGAGGTTGAGCGTCTGGAGAGAGGACGCGTACTCGTCAAACGCGGCGGTGTCGCCTGCGACGCGGGAGCCGTCCTTCCACATGCCGAATTCGAGGCGTTTGGGATGGCACGTCGTGTGCTTGAGCATCTCGAGGGTGCACTTGCCGATATAATGGAAGGAGACGTCAGTAAGGCGCGGCAGGTGGGAGAGGGCCTCGCCGACGGCGGGCTGGCTGGCGAGGAGGGGCTCGAGTTCGACGATGTTGAGCTTGCGGAGGTGGACCGCCTGGCGGAGGGTATCGGCGAGGATAGCAGCGCAGGAAAAGTCGGAAACCCAGGTCTCGCGGCCGTCCTGTTCGGAGGAGCTAACAAAAGCGCCTTCCTTGATCTCGAGGGCCCTGAGATGGCGGAGACGGTCCTTGATGTTGGCCAGCATATACTTACAGAAGAGAGTGATCTGCTCGGGGCCGCTCATGCTGTCGGTGCATCCGAGGGTGACCTCTGAGAGAAAGCGGGGCATGGCGACGTCGTAGGCGTTGTGGCAGGTGAGGGCGAGCTGCATGGCCTCTGGCGGAGACACAAAGGAGAGTATCATGGAAAGAACGTCAGAGTTGAGGTCGAGGATGTTCATAGCTTGCGTTGAGAAGCAGCTCGAGGAGTGGAGGAGAAACGCATCGCGGGCAGCTTGCGGTAGGAGGAGCCGATGATGAGAGACAGGATCCGGGAGAGCGCGCAGGCACGTACCGATGTGAGGGACACCGTAGAGGGTCTGCAGCATGGGGCTTGGCTATGTTCGTGGGTGTGAGGTCGGTGGATGGACGAAAGAGAGGGGAGGGGAGGAGGGAGTTGAGTGGGAAGGTCAAATATGGACGGGATGTTGACAGAGTTCGCACTCGACGATGCAGATATTGGGAGAGGCGATAACCCGCGTCCCTGACAGAAGCGACACATGCCACACCATGGGCTAAGCCTTATATGTGACACAGCGCCGACGGGAGGAAAGACGGGGAGGAACTGCTCTCAAACAACGAGCACGCGCATATATCCTCGTCCCCCGCGTTGCCCGTCGATCTCCGCCACCTTCCTCGCCACCGGCCGCGGCATCTCCCCCGCCCTCTCTCCACCATCTCCCCGCCTCCGTCCGCAACATCGACATACGCATCCTGATGCCGACCTCTATGATCGTCCGACGACAGAGCGAGGTCGCCAACTTCTGCGTCCATTGACCGACGGCCTCATTTCCGGTCTTTCGTCTTCCGGAAGCACACCGACAGCCGCTTTGAATACCGGCCCGCTCATAACAAGTCCAGAGCTCGTCCTCGACGCGCCCTCCTCGGACAGCGCAGTGCTCTTTCCTCCAACGAACTCGCTCTTACGTTCTCACCGCTTCGACGTAAACATCGGGTCCCGTGTCTCGATGTGTTCCCGTTCGCTCACGCTAAGCGATTCAATACATCGCCTATTCCGACGGCATCGCAATCAAGACGTATGTCCTCGCGAATTCTTTCGGTTAATTCTCCGCTGATGGCATCTGCATCTCTCGCGAAGCGCGCCATCCGCTCGGGCTCGCAATTATCGTCAATTCCCAACTCTAACCTCGACGCTTTCTAACTCATGTACGACGATCCTCTTCGCGTTTGGTAACACATTACACAAGAGCGGCCCATACACGCGCGATTCTCCCTCGGACAACCTTCTCTCCCAGCTCTTCCGCCTTCTTTCGCTCCGTTGCCACCGTCGAATGCCTCGGTCCTGTTACGAGAATATCTTTCTCACTGTGCTTCTGTGCTGTGGAGACCGACCTACATCCCACCAGATCGACTCCGAGGGTACGGAATGCCGCGCCTCTGACGTCTGCATGTCTGATGGAATCTTGAATTCTCCACTTCAGGACGCACTGTATCTGACAACTATACATCTATCTCATGAAGAAATCTCCGCCTGGCCGAGCGAAGCAACGGAACGTTGCACCAACTTCCGGGTCTACCTACGTTGTCGCCCTGAGCTGAAGTGGGCCGTACAGACACAGTTCTCGAAGGTGCCAAACTCCTAGGCGAGTTCATCAGCTTCGAGAATGCATTCTGTGAAACAATATCCAACGAATCCTTCCTTTCAGAATTTTCTGATCATGCAGTCTGCTGTACCTCCATGACCAATCTGAATCGTTGCGATCATAGATTATAATTAGGTCTTCGTGTTTGCTCTGGCCCCAGGCTGATTGGGTCTCGAACACGAATCCACGATCCATCCTGCAGATGCCATCAATGTCATATTCTTACACGGTTATTCGACTCGTTCCCTGGTTCAATCGTCTGGAAATATGTGGAAGAAGCCTTTAAATGCTCAATGGGTTGCATGCAAGCCGTTCGAAGGGCGTCCTCGGGCCGGCGCTTATACGTTTCACGTGATCGAGCGCTCGATGCATCAACTTCGGTGCTGGTTTTGTGGCCGACATTCCTATGCGTGTGTTACACTGGAGCTCGATCGCTGTTGCTTCTCTTGAACCAGTAAATCTCCAGGCATGTACCCTCCATTGAGGATCAGTGGTGCAGTGACCATGATCTGCTCAGCAGGAGGTGCTATCTTTTTGTGCTGCTTTGCAGCTATCTCATATGGGCCATTCATCTGCTGCTTTACCATAGATTACTACATTTGTGACTCTCCAAATCTTCTATAATAGTTCAAGCCTTCATGATGCTAATCATGCTGAATTTACAAACCTGCTGAGGACATGTACATGAAAAGGCATTTTAAATTCAACCATGTGATGTTCTCCAGCACTGTCAAATTCTCATCTAATCCTCTTTAATATATGCCTCATAATTCATCTGAGTGTGAACATATATTTGAAGGCTAAGATTTCCTGTATAACAAATAATGGGTGCACCTTGAATGGGGCCTCCTTGATCTGCATTTTACCATAGGCAATGAGTTATGTTTTTTTTATCAGAATGAATGAGTGGTGTGGTCACGCTTATGAGATATATTTGTAACATTGTCATTATCAAATAGAACCTTTTATGTTTTCTATGAGTCAGAAATTGTGATCTGAAAGATGAGCTATAAACTATAAATGTGAAATTCCAAACACACATGCTATTGAAACAATTTCAGGTGCAAACATTGACATTGATCTTTGAGCACTTATAATGAGTTTGCTCCCACATTGTGAATATAATGTAAACTGGTGACAGTGTTATCATACTACTTGTTTTTTCTATGTCGGCACCAATACCGGCTTCAAAGAAGTATTCAACTGATGTCCCAACACTTAGGCCTAGATGGCATTTTTCTTATTCAAGAGCCAGTATTTGTGAGTGCACAGTTGGCAGAATTCACAAACAAGTGTCGACTAACGCCGGCACACTGGCATTGCTCAAGTGTGTTTTGGCGCAATTGTCACACGCAATAGATTGAACGTGAGTCTCGCTACTCGTGTAGCGCACCTGCCACAGGACACCGACATGGATTACTCTTGTCATCTTGAATGATTATAGGTAGGTGGCACTACGTGCATGAGAGCAGCCGTGCACGGGAGACTCAAACAACCGATGGACACTGTATTATAGACAACGGAAGAAATATCCATCACAGATCCAAGCACAACGACCAAACACAAACATAACCCAAGACAGACATCTACGCTCTATACAGCATCCCAACTCGCGCACGCACCAGCTTCCTGAGCCCTCAAGGCCTCACAGCTTCGCCTTCGCCTTTGCCTTCTGTCCCACCCCACGCAACTCCTTCGCCTTATCGCGCAAATACCTCCTCAACAGCTTCCCGCTCGGGTTTCTCGGTATCACATCCGTAAACTCGACGCCCGCAGAGAGCTGCTTGTAGTATACCTTCCCGTCCGCGACGTACTGTAGCACACGCACACGTAGACGTCAGCCACATCCAGCGATGAGACGAAAGCAGTGACAGCGCCGGGGGGGGGGGGTCCTGACGAACCTTAATCAGCGCGGCCTTGACGCGCTCCCCCTCTGCAGGGTCCTTCTTGATACGCTCGAGCGCGCTGACGCTGGGCACGACGAATGCGAGCGGGAGGTCGCCGTGGTAGTCGTCAGGGAGGCCGACGACGCACGCGTCCGAGACGTCCGGATGCGTGAGCAGGAAGCCTTCGAGCTCCGCAGGCGCCACTGCAAACGATCATAAGGGACATAAGTCACCCAAGAATCAAAGACATATGTACGCACCCTGGAAGCCGCGGACTTTTAGGAGCTCCTATAATGCACAGTTAACAAGTGTAAAACCCGATCGGACTATCGCGCACCTTGATCCTATCAACGACAAACAGCTCCGCCCTGTCATTGATCGTCACCTCATCGCCCGTGTACACCCACCCATCCACAAACGTCTCCTTCGTCCTACACCGCACCACGTTACAACGACATCGCACCATACACAGATAGATGCCACTCACGCCTGTTCGTTGTTCCAATACCCAAGCGCCATCGCCGGGCCCGTCAGAACGAACTGGCCCGGCTCGTCCGGAGCGCAGTCGCTCCCATCCGGGCGCACGACACGCGCGGTGATCCCAGGTATGAGCACCCCTGCACTCCCTGGCGTGCCGATCACCTGGTCGTGCCGCGGGAGGGCGACGATCGTGAACGTCTCGGTCATGCCTGGCGCGAAGCGTCAGCGACGAGCGCGGACGGAACGGGGAGAGAGGGGGAGCACTCACCGAAGCCCTGCCCGATCTGTACGTCCTGGAAGACCTCCGCGGCGAGCTGGTCGCTGAGCTCGCCTGAGAGCGGCGCTGCGCCACACATGATCACCCGTACCGAGCTGAGGTCGTACTTCTTCACATCTGGGTGCTGCACAGGAGAAGGGGCCGACGTGAGCATTGAAATCGAGAACAGCGCATGCGGACTTGCCTTGCAGAACAGCACGACTATCGGTGGGACGGTCCTATGCCAGACTGAGTCAGATGGAAGGAGAGCAGACGCGTGGCGGACGTACGGGAGCATGTTGATGCGGTGGCGCTCGATGCTACGGAGCATATCCACAAAGTTGAACTTTGGGACCACAACGAGGGGCATCTGCGCGTGACGCGTGAGCGCGAGGAAAAGGACAATCGCAGAAAGGACAGACGCACGCCGTAGAAGAAGCCGAAATGCATGATATACGCGAGGCCGTACGCGTCTGCATGCCTGCGGTCAGCGCCTAGACATGCAAGGTTCTACACAAGCTACTCACGGTAGAACGGCAGCACTACCACGCATTCCAACAATAATAAGGACCGACCCGTCAAGCTAAGACGCGATCGCTCACCTGCGAGAAAAACGTCCCCGGAACGGAACGTCCTCCGCTCCCACGGCTTCGTGTCCGCGTTCGCATACGCCGCGATCTGTAAGACATTCGCGACGAGCGCATAATGTTGGATCATAACCGCCTACGCCCCGCCTCAGCGACGTCCCCACACCACGGAGAACCCACGCCGACAACGCACCTTCGGCAGGCCCGTCGTCCCGCTCGAGAAGTTCAAGAACGCCAACTTCGTCTTGGCCTCCCCAGGCGCGAGTCTGCGCTCCTCATATGCCTTCGGCGCGCGCGCGCCCTCCTCGATGAGCTCCGGGACGGTCGCTGCCTTACCTGTTGAGCCCTCGACGAGGATGATGTTCGCCTCGGGGATGCCGACTGTGCGCGCGGCCTCGAGGGCGACGGCGTAGTGAGCGGAGTGAACGAGGATGAGGCGCGCGTTGGTGATTTTGAGCTGATGGACGAGCTCCGAGGCGGTGTATGCGGGGTTGGCGGTGCTGGATTGGTGGGAGAGAACGCGTTAGTTGGGGAAGAGACGGGGAGGCGGTCGTCTCGGTCCATCCCTTCCGCAGTGTGTGGCGCTGAATCGGTAGAATCAAAGGGCGGGGCTCTCGTACTGCAGACTGAGAAACAAAGGGAGAACTTGGAAAGCAGGTGTAGATAACCCGTCGTGAGGACCTCGAGCTCTTGCTACAACGCTCGATGCGGTGCCGCTTCTTCGAAACGAGCGCTCACATCGCGAGGTCTTTGCGCGGCATCAGTCCCATGCCGACTTCGTACCCCGCGTGTGGGCCGGGTTCGACTCTGTATGCAAGGGCGAAGCAAAATGAAGACATCGCGACAAGCCGAGTCGTCGAGGTACCAGGTGGCAGGGGGATGTGGAGGCCCTCGGCATGATGTCGAGGCAGCCGCATATGACTGGGAAGCTTACGACGGGCAGACGATAAGACAAGCAAATATGCTTAGGTATTAATAGCAAATGCATATCATGATGCTGCAGGATATCTTGCAAAAGGTGCCCTTGGATTCTCCAGCGGCAGCGCCACAACTCGTATAGGAGACGTGACCGAGGCTGAGGGAAAAAGGGGGACATACGTTACAATTGCGCCGAGTCTGTGGACGGCCCTGAGAAGGAGGAAAGTTGCGTTACACATGAACTATTGATGAGAATACCAGCGAGGAGCGCACCAGACCATCACGGGATAATCTATGCGACGCAATGTTCAGCTTAGAATGAGCACAGCAGCACCTTGCGAGAAACGCACCGACGTGATTCGGGCTAAATAAGCACACTACAGCGCGTCACTTGAACGTCAACAGGCAGAGCATACGTTGAGAGAGACTCACCGACATCATCTTCCACTGATAGCAGTAGTCGGGCATCAGCGTCATAAGCTACCTAGTCAAAGCAAAGGGCACGCACCGACATTCCATCGGCGGCGGAGAGCATTGGCGAGTGCATTTGTGCGGTACCGCAGCTGTAATTACGCATATAAGTACACGACTGACAGTGGACTGGGCGCCGGACGTTGGCAAGGATTGGCATAAAGGACGGAAAGAGCGCGCCGACGGTCACCTCATCGAGTTTGTGGCGTCCCGACTCCTGCTCAAGAGAACGACATGGACCGGCGGCAGCCAAGCCAAGTCCTCCGCGCCTTGGGCATCTCCAGATGCTACTCACCTCCTTGACAAAGACTTTCCTGCCCGTCCCGTTCTCAATCATCCACGGGTGCTCCTCTCTCCTCGCCACATCTGGCCTGCTCGGATGCTCATTCGCGCGGTCCAGCATAAACTGCACGATCGTCAAGTCGTCCGGGATTGCAGGCATCGGGCCCCCCACGCCTTGAATCTCGCGCACTGGGTTGGACATGGCGGGGTGTGCACTGGCGGATGTGGTCGACTCTCGAGCGTGGTGGATGCAGCGTGGGGCGCGGACGTGGGTTACGAAGGTCGCTCGCATTCGTCTCCTATATCTATTGGTGCGTTGCTGCAGTGGTGATGGCCGAGCATGCTCGTTTTGCTCGAAGTGTCGCGATTTGTCTGATGGAAAAGCCGCGCGGGGTAATCTCATGCCCACCCTTCGCGCGCCTTATACACGGGCAAACCGTCGCCACCATACCTGCTCCTCTGTGCTCTGGGCGATGACATAAAAACTCCAATCTTCTCGCATACATCTCCATGTTCGGCAGTGACGAACGTCGGGAATGAGACTGTCCAAGGATGTCGATGAGCGCCGACTCCGAGCCAAACACTCGCGGACTTTACCGGGCGCCATCTGCATCGCGCACCACTGATCAAGCCAATAATTACCGGCCTGACCTTCAGACCATCGGATGCTCGATGTTGTGGTGATGCGACAAAAAATGCGTGCTGTGACATGCGATGTGTCTCATCAAGTTGGTCTGTTGCGTCGCGCTCGACGGACGGTACGAGATTCCATTGGGAAAGTCTCTCGCTTGTGCTCCCAGGGCTACTAATCGACCAAAAGCTGCTTGTACAAGTGAGCAAGACGTCAATAAGTCGCCATTCCAGCCCGGATAAGTAGATTGCATTCCTTGTGTTTACTTTATCTCTCCGCTTACAGTCTTGACCTCTTTCGATAAGCAGATCCAAGCATGATAAGTAAGAGGAAACTTCCTGATGTCATTGCTGCAAGTTTTCTCGAATATCGCTAGGAAAATGGAATGACATTTCAATTGCTCAACTATGCCGTCGCCTTGCTTCGTCTCTATATGTGAGCAACACTCCCCATCGCCTCCTGACAACATCAACCTACCGAGCTACCTGTTACAGTCCTCGTTCGCTTCCGTGGGATAGTTGGCGGCCGAATCTACATTTCGTGAGGGATAGCGGCGCTCGTCATCGAATATTTGGCCGTACTGTCCCCGCTCTCGCTCCCGCCACGGTGAGTCTACGGCGCGCGTTACCGCTCGAAGCTTGAATGTCGAATACTTGCTAGTGTAGTAGGTCGTTCATGAGTTAAAGCCCTTCATTGATTGATTCAACCTGCCAATTGACAGTGTCGATGGATGAGAAAGCACTAGTAGGAGCCCGAACGCTGGATCATGAACGCGTGACGGTTCATCATGATGCGAGTATCGAAACCGATGGCCGCAGTAATGCGTGGAGATTCATCACGTAAGCTATCCGCCATATTGGCTTGTTCGACTTTGGAGTCAGGGCACTTGGTTGAAAGCACTGACTTCCGAAGAATTATCGACATTCCCCGACTGCTGGCTCTGACCCAAGCGCATCATTCAATGGCGTCCATGAGGCCACGATGGCGCGCCGCGCGTACAAGTCACTCTAGGCCACATGTCGGCCACCGTTGTGGCCCAGTGTTCGGCCCGATGGCATGCACTCGGTTGCACAGCGCGGTTTACCCTATTCAGGCCGCCAAGGTGCACCAAGATTCATAAGCGACAGAACGAGTTGTGGTTATGCAAGCAATTGCTCGCTTTTTCACTGAATGTTCGTGGTATAAGGTCTGCCTCCATTTTTTTCAAGTGCCTGACATGTGCGCAAATCATGTCGGCCGCTTGGACTCTCCGGAGGAATAAATGGATGTGTGGCCATCGGGCGAACACGTTGTCAGGAGGTGCCACTTGGCAGCCAGCACTGTGGCTAATCTGAACTCCGCGACTTGCGCACGAGCTGTGTGAATATATAATATCATAGCAGATCCATATCTTGTACTCGTTGCCCGCTCCATCATCGTGTTAATCTCTCCTCTTGCTCTATCACAGACATGATGTCTTTCTTCTCATCCAAGGATATCCATTGCCTAAACGACGACACCCTCTCCGAGATTGTGGCCTTTCTTTCTACTCAGGATTGCCTTCGGCTATCAGCGACGTCCAAGCGGCTTCACTCGGTCTCCAGGGAACGTGCACTGAAGTACATAACAATCACGAATGCAACGCAGCTCCAATCCCTATGTCAGCTACTTCTCGACAGTGAAGATCTACGAAGGCGAATCTCTGTTTTGCGGACTCTCGAGCTGAGTGCCGAGATCCCAACGCTTACTCTCTCATCCGCGGCTCTCCTGGCGGAGTTTATCAACCATACGGACAATTGCCGAGTCCTAGGCCTCATCAACGTTGAAACCCTTATCGAGTCAGACATGGATCTCGGATTCTCGCTCGTGGGCTTGACTGTTCTCGATGAAGTGAGATTCAGTGACGTCGGCCAGATGGTCCTCCTTGTTTTACAAGTTATAAGAAGTCGCCCAAGAGTTCTCTCACTTGCGAAAGTCTCGGGAGTGGGATATGATATGCTCTTTTCAACCCTTGCCACACCCAACTTCACTAACCTCCGGACGCTTATACTGGACGATCCGCCGACTTTCAAAAGTCTCTTGGATTCCCCGATTCCTAAGATTCCGTCTGTTTGTTGTCTCCGACTCTCGAACTCGTCCATCCCGCAGTACTACATCGTCCTCGCGCTGCCCAATATTCGCGAACTGTATCTCACCGACGTTAAGGATTCAGATAAAGAAAGGCAACTCCTTCCGCGTGGCATTTCTGTGGCCCATTGGCCTTCGCTTGACTACCTCAACATACGGAACAAGGTCGAGTTTCCACTCAACTGCCCGGTCCACCGGCTGAACGTACATGAGCTATTCACGGGCTATGCGGGAAGCCTTCCCGTTGATGAGCCAATACTGATAGCGGCACAGCAGGGTTCACCGGTCGTGGTGTCTCTGGGTGCATGTGCGAGCAAGCTTACTGACGTATGGCCGCGACTTCTCAACTTCACTCCAAGGCTACGTAGTCTCGAGTTTCAGCTCTATCTGGAAACATGGGATGATGACTCCTACTGCCCGGATTGGGACGCATTTTTGGTATGCAAGCCATGTTTATGCTCTTTGCCTCTCGCTGACCGTGCCTTCTTCACTGTTCATCCAGGGACGGCATCTTCCCGAGATCGCAAAATCCAAGATCGTGCATATTCACATTCGCTTGTATCCTTTCAATGAGCTTCAGGATATGAGCCATTGGTACAGGAGGAGCTTGAGGGAAGTATGGCTCCTCAGATGTCTGCTGGGTTTCGTGCGTGAGATGCCCTCGCTTCGATACTTTTCGTTCGGCGGATACGCCTCGCCTCATCCGGAAGACGACGAGGACGCCGGGGGACAGGAGTGCTATCAAGGCCAATGCCTGTGGTGGCGCATTGCCAAGGAAGATGGACGCCGGAGAGCAGTGCGTATGGATCCATTTGTCGGCGACCAGGTTCGCAAGAAGATTCATTCTTCGGATTATGATTGGAAGAACCATTTTGATGGTGCGCACTCTTTGCTGCTCAGTTGCATGGCTATTGACATGTCGCGCGCATCTCACGCAGATTCTGAATTCTTCAAGGCAGCTCAACGACCGGGAAGGACAAGTAGATTGCTACGCCAAAGCGACTCGATATGACGATCATTCATAACTTTCTGGTCCTTGATATCTCAATTAAAACTCATGGCCTCTAATTTTTAGACCATATCATTAACACCATCTTTCAGCTCCTTCCCACTTCTTTTCTCCTCGCCTGACATTTTGTATGTACTCGTCCATTGTGCTTTGCTCAGATGCGTCACGCTTTCCACAAAAAGTATGCGGTAATGAATTTTTAACGTGTAGAAATAGCCCTCATATAAGTAGAGGGTCGTTTTGCAAAGAATTCAGCGAATCATGTCGGTCTTAGGAATCTTTACTGGCTTTTAGTTGCGCATGGTTGGTTTTCTCTCTAACGCGCCTTTTTCCGAGATGTTCATAGTAAGAATTACGGCGAACGATAATACTGTAGCTGCGCATTATTCGTCGAGGCAATCGTTACATGCCGCCGCTTACAAATCAACGAGTCGCTTATCTGACAAAAAGTTGGAGAACCGAATGGCTGGACAAATAAGTTGTTGTTGAACGCTGAGCGCGAGCTTCAAAACGACTGGCCGCGAGAATGAGCGCCCGGCGCTATAGCCGCATTACGTAACTGATTATAGCGATTCGACGACTTGTTCACAGCACCGACGTATCGTCAAGAGGGACGAAGTCAATGCATTATATATCTGTGGTAACCCTCCTTCCTCCGTTGTCGGCTTGTTTACCAACGTTCTTTTTAGGTTTGAGACATTGACTCTGGCAAATTGGTGTGGCCTCAGTGGCGCCACACGTCCAAATTGCTTCCGGAAAGCCCGAGTGGTGGTAGAAGCCGAAAGAGACGATGCCATGTTTGTGCCACAGCAGAATCATTAAATGTCTCATCTCTGTTATTAGGGAGCGCTGACAAACCGTCTTTTGCTTGGCCATCCAAGCACCGGCGTGTGATGCCAAGGTTCAGCATCATCTATTATTCAGAGAATGCCTCACTGCGTTCAGATCAAAATCGTCAATCTAATTCTAATTGTCGAAAGGAGGTGCGTAACATGCGCCTTCTCTGATGGTGGCTTTGATCTGGCCGCTTTGGGGTTTTCCGCATAATGCGCGAAAACAGTCGAAAGGCCGCACAAGAACTGGCTAACCTCCGGCCGCCCACGGAACACGTTTTGACGGCAGCCATCAAAGCCGTGTGGCCACATTGTAAAATATAGAGTCCGCGACTTCCCCACAAGCTCGGGGCAGATCGTACAAAAGCCCTCCCTGCTGGACGAGTCGTCATCCGCTCCCTTCCGTCCCGTCGCTCCGATATGCCACCCTCGAACGCAGTACAAATGTTCTTCTTTGTCCCCGCCCCGCGCGTAACCATCCTCTGGCTTGACGATGACATCCTCTCCGAAATTCTGTCACTCCTCTCTATGAAGAATTCTCTCAACCTCTCGGAAACATGCCGTCGATTGTACCCGGTCTCTAAGCACAACGCTCTAAAGGAAGTGACGATGTCAAAGGCCGAACAGCTTCCGCTATTTTGTAGCAGGTATCTGATCTCGCAAACGCCGCGGCATGTCTGGGTTCTGCGGACGCTCGATTTGAGCACTGTCGCCACTCCCTTTCCCGTCTCCTCTGCTAGACTCCTCGAAGACCTTCTAAGGGAAGCTGAAAATTGCAGAGTCCTCAAGCTCGCAAATATGGAGAATCTCGTCACAAGCAGTTTTGGGCTGGGCCATGCGTTGGCTGCTCTTCGTCGCTTGGAAGAAGTCAAGCTACACTTGGTCGGTCCATGGGCTCTGATGGTGCTCACAAGTCTCAGAAGCCATCCAATCAAGATTTTTCTGGATACCTTCGTGGACATTGGGTACGATCGTTTGTTTGAGGCGTTATCGTATCCCGCATTCTCCAGCCTTCAAACCCTCGGCCTGAATAACCCACCGAAGAGAACGGAAGTCAAGAACGCTCACTTGCATCAGCTTCCATCCATTCGCTCGCTTTGGCTGTCTCATTCTCGCGTTCCACAGTATGAATTGGTGCACGTCCTGCCCAATGTACGCGCATTGCGCCTCAGCGATGTCGTATATTGGAACAAGATCAGAACCTTCTGGTACTGGCACTGTTACGAAATGATACCGTGCTGGCCCGTGCTAGACTTTGTCTCCACATCGGGACAATTCGGGTGGCACTTACACTGTCCAATCCACTGGCTGAACGCAGATAACATCCTCGACGGCCACCTCCACTGTGGAGACATCGACGAGAGTCTGATTTTAGAAGAACTCAGGGACGGACTTCCAGTTGTGTTCTCTTTCCGTGTAATTGACCGTCGACATCACATCTTCTGGACGTGGGTCCTCCAGCGAGCGATGACCAGGCTTCGCTGTCTGGAATTTGAGCTAGTAGTCTGTTCATATTGGGTATGACGTTGGCTCCTACCTGGTAAGCCATTCACATCCATTCTCTCCTCAGGAGAGAAAGCTGATCATGGGATGCAGGAAGAAGTGGCATCCATACTTGCGCAATCAAATATCATATACATCCACATCCGTTTCCGTCCCATCTCTCTCTATACCCCTCCAGTCTGGTGGCAACTTCCTCAAACGTTCTCGCGGGGGCTGACCGATATCTCACGCACATTCAAAGATATCCCATCGCTGCGTTACCTCTCGATTGACTGCGCCGCATGCGATGCTCAGGATAGTGACCTTGGTAACAAGCGCAATTTCCTGCGCGAAGAGCCCCAGTGGTGGCGCATGTTTACCGTGCAGAGTGGCGACAAAGTGGTAAGACGTATTCCCTCCTTTATAGGCGAGCAGATCCGAGAAAGGTTGCATTCCCCGGCTTATGATTGTATGCAAGAATTTGACGGTGAGCCACGTTGCTTTGCAGAATGCGTCGGATTATGAAACTCGTGTACTGATCTTTTGCATACGTGCGCAGACTCGGAATGGTTCGCCCAAGAAGACGCGCCAACCAATGCAAGAGCCGTTCGAGAGACAGGACTCTGTCATCCCAGTGCCTTCGGTCACTAATCTTCATCAACAGTTGCGAAAATGCCTTCTACGTATCATTTGCTACTTTTACTTGCATTCCGCCTCATTCACAATCCAAATGTCGCATGCAAATTTCCACTCTCTTGATTTTATCATCTCTAGGAATCTTCCTATACTCCATCTACTGGTCTGCTTCCTATTACTATCACCCAAAATCGAGCATCGCATACTTTCCTCGGTCCTTGCTCCATTTCATTTACTACTGCTTCATCATTCCTGTACATCTGGAACTGTCAACCATATCTCTGTCAATTTCGATCAAACCGCCGCCCTCGTTCCGTCCTACCCTTCCGGCACTTGGCTTGTACATGATGACGCTTAAGTCCAAGATAATAACTATTACGGGAGGTTACTGGAACAGCAAATCAATTTCTATGCACATATATAAGAAGTGCTAGCACCCATATGAACACGAACTCATCAAAATCTTTGAAGTCTATTTATGCAGGCGCGGTGCCCGCAGAACACGATGGCAATGGTTGCAGAAATAATGAAGTAGCCACTAGGTTGTAGATAATTAGTAAGCCAACTCACGGAAATCTAGGAAGTCTACATATGCAGGCGCGGTGCTCGTAGAACACAATATAATGAGACGGTAGCAGCAGTTGTAGCGATCTCAAGTAGTTACTAGGGTCGATGGCAGATCTAAGGACAGTCTCATAATTGAGTGGATGCTATAATATCCCAACCTCGACGTTCACCTGAACAAACAAATGATCATCATACCAATACGTTCAATCGTACTTATCCAGCCCCCTCAACATCTTCGCCGTGGCCGTTCCCTCCATCTCAGCCATCGCTCTCACTTTTCTCCCCTCCACACCATCCTCGACCGCAAACCAATCCGGCTCGTATGCATTCCTCACCTCCGGTGCACTCGGCTGCAGAGCGACGTATCGCACGCTCGGCACCGCCAAAGAGATAAAGCGTGCAACGGTGATCATGTCAGGTGGGGAAGCACGCTGAGCCGTCAGCAGTGTGGGCACAGGTACAGCTTCGTTACCAGGGAGAGCGACATGGGACAGAGAGGGAGAGGAAAGCGGAGACTGCGCGGGAGAGGGCCGTGGGGTGGGGAAGGAGGCGGGCGTGTCGCTGTAGAGTGCGAGGCCCGCAAGTGGAAGAGTCGAGAGTGTCTGCGCAACACGGATCTAGAAATCAAATGAAATGAAGGATGCAATATCGTCCAATTAGCCACCGCATATGAAAGAGAACGTAGACACGCACCATCCACGACGTGACGCCAGCTAGCGACTCGCATCCATGCAATATCAACTCCAGGAACTTCAAGTTCCCCGCCACCTCCGGTATGCGCGCGACGAACGCGGCATCAGGAACCGATACGTCTACAAAGCACGAAAGCACGACAGGTTGCGTGCGTTTAATGAACCGCAGTGCGTTATTGATCGCGAGTTCATCCGCAGGAAGGGGGTTGCGAAGGTCTACCCGGCGCACGGGCCGAGCAAGCGGAAGGATTGGGTGGCCCGAATCAACGCGGTCTAGGCATGGCCAGCCATCTTGCGGGAGCTCTATGTCTTTCATACCCCAGTCTGCACCGAAAGACCCTCCGCCGTCGACGAACTGGAGGGAGCGTACGTGGGGGAACGCACGAGTAAGGATAGATAGCTCGGGAATCTCTCCGCCGAGACAAACGGTGTGGAGGAACTCGCAGCCGGCGAGCGCATCCACGATTTGCGGGCGCGCCTGAACGAGTGCGTCCATGCCCCAGACGGTGACTTTCTGGAGGTTCTTCCCCCTCGCAAGCATCTCACTCAGCATACACACACATTCAACGTCCACAGCCCAAACTCCACAAACTCGCTTGCGCACGGTATCGCGCATAATCGTAAGCGATCGGAGACATGAAAGGCGGGTGGAGACGTCGGCGAGCATGTAACGACAGAAGGAGGTGAGCTGGTGGGCGGCTGTGCGTGCAGGTTTGTGGAAGACGCCGCCGAGGGATACGTGGGCGAGGACGCGGGCCATTGCAAGCGCATGAGCTTGATGGGATGTAAGCGCAAGCTGGGCTGCATCGTGTGGTGAGAGGAATGCGAGTACGAGTGACAGCACGTCGTGATTGAGCGAGAGAAGACTTGTCATGGCGGCCGTTGTCGTCGTTGCGGTGATGTCTATGGCTCTATGAGTGGATGTGTGAGAGCAATCCTGCATGCGGGGATGGGGGATGCGGGGAAGCTGGAGTACAGCGGGGTGGGGCACAGCCCAGTTTAAAGTCTAAGTCTAATAACGGGGGAGAAAGATGGAAGTCTATGAAAAACTTGAGTCAGCGCCGAGACGTGATCCGTGGCTGGCCCTAACCTCGATCCGAGGCTCCCTGCCGTTCCGTTCCATCCCGGCTCCTTGAGCTCCTCCTACGGGCCACCGCTGGCCACCGTTCCAGGCGCTGAACTTCCTCGCCAACATTCAGCCGAATGCAACCGTCGAGGAGCAGGACGCTCCACTTGGCTTCATTCGGGGCACGGCCGGACCAAGTCTTGCAAGCACGGCGGCTCGTGCTGTGTTGCCCTAGATTGGTTGCGACGGCAGGAGGGACAGCCTGTTCATTCACTTCTATCCTTTCCGTTTCACGATGACTTTGATTGGTGGAGATAGGTATGATGCTTCGCCTTGTTGAATGCAGACTCCATTCGATCGCTGTGCATGCATGCTGACACGGTGCTGATTGCGGCACCTCCGACTCGATGACAATTGCACTGCTCCGAGTTAGACAGTCGACGCACGCTCGACGGTCCTCCGGTTGCACCCCTTGCATGTTACAAATCAGTTGCAGGAACGACCCGTGCAGGTTGATACGGAACCATGCATCCGATGATCTTCCTGTCAGCAATGCATGCGGAATGATTGACAAGCAGCCGAGGTAGTTGGATGCAAGCAGCAGAGGCGAAAGAAGAAAGCTGTCACCACTGCGCCCCGTGAGCACCCGCCCTAAACTAGCGCAAGTCATGGGATTTCTGTCATGCGACGCGATTGGGAGCGCTAACGTCGGGAAGTTTCCTTTATAGGACACTTTTTCGACCGTTTTGGAAGCTAGCGCCCATCGCAATTTCCCTTGAGCTCGTACTACCGATATCAATACTGATCTGTGTCAACAACGCACTTCATTTACGCACGCAGTTATTCCTTTGAAAGAAAGAGGTACTAGGATGCTTACTGCATCCATCAGAAACTTGAGCCGGCAATGATATTCGACATCCCCTGGTGTATCTCTTAAACTTCTGAACAGCCTGCCTCTGTGGTCTTGATCTATGAATTATCACCTTTGAGGCATGATGCATCTGCTTTTGATGGTATTTCTCACAGCTGCATGACAAGATGCCGGATTGAGGATATCAACCCTCACGACCTCGAAGCTGCTGGACTGGTGACTCGGAGCCTGCTTGTGGTCATCTAGTACTCGGGATGCTTTGCATTTACCAGATTGTCCTAGAAAGGTCGTCCAAGGGTATTCAGTAGCTGACTATCTATCCCGATATGTCGCGCGACATCATGCAGCCAGGCGGGCCAGCAGCCAGTCAGGAACGTAATGTCAGCCCAGAAGGCAGACATGTGAGTAGTCTCTGCTCTTCATCTTTCCAGGACACCTCTACAACACCTCCGTTGATTCAATATATCTTTCAAGCTCTAGCACGCAAGTATGGCCTCCCTCACTCCTGGTGAGTAAACAATCCCGGTTCTGTCATTCCTCAAACTCCTCCTGACCATCTTATCGACAGATGTCATAGCGGGTCTCGTCCTAGTTATTGTGGTACTGGTAATCCTACTCTCCGCTACGTCCATCGTCCTCTACCACCGCCGCACCATCGCCACACAGCCCATCTTCTGTGACTCTCCCGCACTCTCCAGCGACTCGCCCGATCCCGAAAAGGGCCCCATCCGTCCCTTTTCCTCACGCATCCCCACATCTCCCAAGCTGGCCATCTCGAGGCCATACAACCTCAAGCACAAGATCCGACGCAAGCCGCCAGCGCCCCTTCTTCTACTCTCCCCCGAGCCCGAAATCTACCCGCCCCAGCCCACCCAGTCGATCACCTCGCTCAACGTGACCATCTCCCCATCGAAACCCCACGTCGTCAAGGTCGAGACCGAGGGCGGCGGCAGTGTCGGCGTGGAGCTGCGCGTCACGCCTCCGACGCCCGTCGCCAGCCACACCGAGTTCCCCACGACGCGTTCCGAGTACTTCAGGATGATGCGCATGGCTGGGCTGCCGCTGCCGACGGGTACTGGGATGGTGCCTGCGATGAGCGAGACCGACGGCAGGAAGTGGTATTTCATGTAGGGCCCTTCGTCGGCGTGACCTTCCAGCATTTGGCTTCGCGAGCTGTCCATACATCGGCCGTCCATGCGCCTTGTGCAGCACAAGTTTCGGCTGCTCGCCAGTGCGACTCCTGCTTTTCTGTCCCCTATGAATACCCTCAGACTTTTATTTCAGTACGAGTTGTTGATTCGAAACTCTAGAAGGGATCATATGAGCAATACATCATAAGGTCACTTAGCGCATGAACCACCACCGTGCATATTGGTCCATGACGCATCTCTGGACACGTTAACTCCGATCACGACGCAGAATCCTGGCTCTCACTGCTTTCTAGCCTGCTCTGCCTGCAGTGCTCTGCGTTCTGCACGTCCCGCGGCTGCTTCAGCTTTCTGTCAGCCACACCCATCTGCTCAATGTATAACTGACCATCAGGTCCGAAAACGAGGTCGTACGAAAGACAGCCAAACCAACGAATATCAGCATACCGCACACTTGTGTGCAATCTGCGGACCCTCAATGTGTCTCTCCGACCTGATACTAATCCGTAAAGTCTCGAACGTATCTCCTTGCAGCTGCGCTAAGCCTAGGAGTCATCGCTCCGGTGACGTTTATGTTTGAAGTCGCGCAGCGCAGAGAATGGCGTTGCACCCGCAGCGCGACGGGATGACAACACTTCATATGCAAATCTTATGGAATGACCTGATGTTTGCTAACTGCCGTGAACGGCTCAACGTATGCAAAATCTGAGAAGGGCAGACTAGTAGCTCCTTCAAGTACTCAATTTCTTTATCATCTTGCCATTAGGCTATTCACATGCTGCCCAAGTCAGATTTTCCATCTGTCAACTGGCGACGGACGATAAATAGTCGATGTTATGGGAAAGGCGAGCTCGAATTGGCAGCAGCAATGCGACGATAAGTCGTGAGGAAGGCTTGTAGACAGTGTCCGGAAGGAAAAGCCTTGTGTGTGATTTGTAGTTGTCAATGCCCGTATCGGCATCAGGTTTGCTCTCCTTAGTGAGAAAAAGTCTTGATCACGACGTTCTGGTAGTGATCAATTCTGTCAAAGACAGCCCTATATCGACGCCTTGCTACTGGACTCGGATCCTGGATATTGATAGCAAATACACACCCCTGACAAAATGCGGGGGACAGCGATTTCGAACGTCTTACCCTATTGCAAGAGCTCCCTATGGTGCGTACTAAATGAATGAGAAATAAATTCGAGCTTCCTCTCACGAGAGGGCGTACTGTTTTCAATCATATCTGACAGAATCCATCGGCGCACGATCCACACGCATAATGACCGCGACGCTCACCTAGCTCGTGATGGGAATATGCAGGTTCAATGAAGAGACGCAGGTTCCATGTCCATACGCCTCGCCAGAGTCCCTTCGACTCCAGCTTGACGCCCGTCTTCTCCGAGCTTAGGTACATCGTGTATGGGACCTCAATTTCACCTTTTTGTATGGTCGCAATCGCCCGCACGGTCTCTCCAGGGTCCGCGTTCATCCGGAGAGTCGCGACGTACTTCTTCACAAACTCATTCCGCTCACCCCACCTCATCTCCCGGTTGGAGTACGGGTCTCCTGTCAGCCCGGTTTCGTCAACCTCAGGTACGGCTGCTGCGCAAGCAGGATGGATAGTTCAACCCACAGAAACACGGACGCAGCAGCCGCACGCACCTTTCAGCGTAGTGCCTGCGGCCAAGTTGAACCCCGCGCCGTATTCAAACATGCCGCTGTGTGTCTCAGACTCGCACAACTCGAGCGTCGTACTCTGCAACTGCTTCGTACGATTCTCGAACGTCTGCGACGCGAGTACCCTTCTCGCCGAAGAGACGATCCTACCGAGCTTGAGGTCGTACTCGACCTTGTCGACGTGCACAGCCTCGAAAAGAAAGCTGAAATAGTGATCTGTATGAATCTCATTTGCGGTGTAGTTCCAGACCTGCGGCTCCATATGCGTGCGCGAGAACAGCGCCACGCCGGCTGAGGGCATGACGAGTCGGAAATTCCCCAAGTACCGACCCTCGCCCGGCTCGATCCTGAACCAGCTGATGAAGCGGCGACGGTGAGCCCGCGACACTGCACACCGAGAGTCCCGAAAGACTCACTTATCACCATATTTCCCATCGCCACCGATATGTCCCACGCGCGGATCCATATGGGTGCGCGAGAAGAGCACATTACCCGTCATTTTACCCTTGATCGCGTACAGGCCCGCATTCTTGCCGGTGCCATGAATGAGCGAAAAGTACTGGGAGGCGTCATCGTCATCGATCTCGGCGGAATGACCAAATTCCGGAAGCGCATTCGTTCGCGAGAAGAGGACGTGCTTGCTGGCATAACCGAGTAGGCGGAAGTACAGACCCTCTGGTGGAATGTAGATATCTCGCATGACAAATGATTAATGATCGCTACGGGGTGTGTGTCGCCGTGCCCACAGCGTAGGTCAAGACGCGGATTACTGATGCACTGTCAGTGGGTCGTGTATGATGACCGACCCGTTCGGAAAGAAAGACTTCAAATTCAAGAAGCTTGAAGGCTGGCTTTCGTACACGGATGCGTTCAAACTTCACAGTCGAACTATCCTGGTACCCAGGAATCCAGCAGGTGCAGCAGCACACGTTGGGTTTTGAGCTAGCAAGAAAGGGCGGCAGGTGGCTGCACGGTGAAGAATCAAGACTGCTGTCTGTCGTGAGGCTGCAAGTGTCTACATAAACCACGTTGATCGATGATCAGGTGCATCAGCAAAAAGTGTGTTTATCCCTGTCGCGCTGCGCAACGCCAGATAGCGCCCATAGCCTGGTTAGCACGGTCACTGCTATTAGCCCTCTATACGTCTATATAGGCAACATTCTCCCTTCTATCATGAATTTCATTGGACAATTGATTCGTTTCGATCCATCGCTGGGGTATCTATATACGAGGTAACGCATGAGAAGAAAATTGTTGTGCCGAAGGTAGGCATTTAAGAAAATCCCTTTCACTTTGTCGAGAGAGAAGTTGTTAGAGCACCATTGACTGTCCATTGCAGAGCTCAAGATTCACTAGGTAAGGCGGACTTACCGATACAGCTACCCGCTATGCAGGCGTCACGGTAGCAAGATTACTGCTGAATGTAACGTTCAACTGTTCAACATTGTGCTGTTGAGCTCGCTTTCTGTTGAACACCAGAAGGTCCAATCGACTCGGACAGTATGTCGTCCACGGAGTTGTCGGCTACGGACCTGCAGTCGATCCTGCAGTTCACCATCTCTCTTACTCGCTCTGCCGGTGAGATCATCTTGCAAGGCTCGCAAGCGATTCTCTCATCAGGCAATGTCAACGAGCAGAAAAATCCGGTTGATCTAGTGACCGAGTACAACGTGAAGGTCGAAAGCTTGTGAAGGGGGAGCTTGGGGAGAAGCATCCAAACTTTAAGTTGTGAGTAGCCTTCTGAATGCCCGACCTCATGCCGCACCAGTGCAGGCTCTATACAAGATGTGACTGTCTCGACTTGATTGTATGCTCATCATTTCGACTTACCATACAGTATCGGAGAAGAGTCGTACGCCGCTGGGGCTCGGCCTTTTTTGACTGATGAAGCGACTTTCTGCGTTAACCCAATCGGTGCGTTTGTGCGGCTCTCCACACTTCATGTGCGTACAAGTTCGAATGCTATGGTAAATAGGACAACAAATTTCGTACGTAGCTTTCCGCATGTCTGCATTTCGATCGGGCTGATATACAAGAAGACTCCTGTGCTTGGTGTAATCTACAACCCATTTCTCGGCCGGTTGTATGCCGGCGTACTAAAGGGTCAGAGATCGTACCTCGTGCATGGCAAACGTGCACCGGTGAAGCTGCCGATTGCTAAGCCACGACCTCTGCCGTCTCTCTCTCAAGCTCTCATTGGTATGCAGGGTTTCAGCCGCTTCTCGGAGCTGTTGTCGCTTAGAACTCATGTGGAGGTGCCGAACGGGGTTCCGATCACTCTGAGGACGTTATCCGCACCAAGGGCGACTCCTTCAAGAGACTCGCAGGAAATCCTGCAAAAGTCGTGAAAGGAGCCAAATGGCACTGACTGTGCTTAGGCTCATTCACGATAGGGCTGATATTCTGATGTCTGCCTGATATCATTCATCAATGGACATTCCTTTCAAAATGTAGGTTAATCGACCGAATTTAACGGGATATGGACCACAGATCTTACTTACTCAGAAATGAATTTTAGCCTCTTCTCGTGTACCATTATCTCTAGTTGCTGTTGAACTCTTTGCTGACCCTCTTGTTGGCTTTGATTGTCATCCTTGGGATTTTTGACCAAGCAGTCCTCGTCCTTTCTCCGAGTGGATCTATCACAAACTTAGGATGCAGAGCGCCGACTAAGCCTATGACTTTATGATCAAACACTTACTGACTGTTGTCGACGTAAGGATGGACACAAAAATGATCAAGGTAAAGCAGCGACTTGCAAGTGGTCGCTGGTGACACTGTATGGATAGGCGTAGCAGAGATGAGAATAAGTCTGGGGGACTTAGACGCCTCAGAGCTCTGGCTTATATACATGAGCGGAGGGACCCTTGGTACCCTGATACCCCAGAACCGCTAGCTAATGGACATTGTCTGATTGGTTACCACTACCTGTCAGACTACGTCTGTCATGTATGCCGAATCTCCGAACTACTTAGTAAGACCATGGGAATGGTATTGCCTGTAATGGCTACATCTCCGGTGGCGTGGTATCTATCTACCTCGTGTATGTGAACTAATATACCCTTAAGGACATATCTCCGGTGTCGTGTATCCCCTTCGTTGGATTCTTCCGGAGTCCGACCGTTGCTTCTAGGTGGGATGATATTACTGTATAAGTTAGGCTTACCTGATACCAGCGCTACTTGTCACATGTGTGGATATCACGTGATATGTCACGTGACTAGACCTGGACCTTCGGGGCGCCTAGGACTGTTAGTACTTCGCGTACCGGTTCGTTCCTTTCTGAACAGCCTAGCGCTGATGTCAAGTGATGTCTTGGTCACGTGCAGAGGTGAAAACGTGAAAATCTGTGACAGTACCCCCCCTTCTAGACAGTTCGTCCCGAATCTGGCTTTTTGCGTGGTTTCTGGAAGTAATTATCGCCTGTTGAACCAAATCCACGGTGACCTCGGGCTGAGGGTTTGAGGTAATCAACCAGTGAAACGACAGGGGTAATAATACGTTCAATGATAAGTTGAGCAACCCGATCGCCCAAATTGACTGTGAAGTCATCATTTGTATTATTGATTAGCAAAATCTTGATTTCGCCTGTGTATCCTCTGTCGATAACACCAGCCCCTACGTCAATGCCTTTGACAGCTAACCCACTTCGTGGTGCAATTCGACCATAGGTCCCTCGAGGTGTTGTAAAATGAAGTCCTGTGGATACCAATCCTCTTGAGTGTGCTCGGATGGTTGTTGGTTCTGATGCGGCTAAATCCATTCCAGCATCGTCTTCATGGGCATATTTTGGTGCGTGTGCATTTGGATTGTCTAATGTAATTTGAAGATCTCTAGAATGATCCCAATCATCTCTATCCTGATCGTATATCTGAATGGTATCAGTGGCGGGGTCATAGACTTGACCTGTTCTCCTGGGTGGAAAAACGCCATCGACCGGAGTTGTATCAATGAGAGATATTGGTTGAGGTGCGTCAGGATATTTTCTGTGAAATTCCTTGATGAGACGCGGAGATTTCTTCAAATTTGCTGCGGGTTCCCAAGTTTCTTTGGCTTTAGAATAACCCTTCCAATGCACCAAATATTGAAGTTTGCCACGAATGACGCGAGAGTCGACTATGTATTCGACTTCCCATTCTTCGCCAGTCTTCTTCTTAATAGGAGGACAGGGTCTGAGAGTGCGATCTGGTATTTCATCTTTGTGGTAGAGCGTGAGCTTGGACGCATGAAAAACTGGATGAACGCCGTATTGTCGTGGCATTTTGAGTCTATATGTGACTGGTCCTAGTTTTTCTACGATTTCGAAGGGTCCATCTCTCCGTTGTGCCAGTTTGGCTCTCGATGTCTGCCAATCTTTAGTGGAGAGTAATACTTGATCTCCAACTTTGAAAGGTGCGGGTCGTACGGATTGATCGTAGTACCACTTCATGTGCTCGGCTGCCAATAGAATGGCTGCTTTTGCTTGCTCTTGCGCTTCTACTCGTGCCTGCATTATGGAATCTAGCGTATTATGCTTTATAGGGTCCATTATTGTTGGTTCTGCACGTGGATGTCTACCGTATTCGACAAAGAATGGCGAATTCTTAGTGGCTTCAGAGGCCTGATTGTTATAGGCGAATTCGGCAGTTGGGAGTAGTGTACTCCAGTCTTCCACGCGTTTATCCGTATAAATACGAAGATATTGCTCTAGCGACTGATTTGTTCTTTCAGTTTGACCATCGGTCTCCGGATGATATGCAGATGACATTGTTGATTGTATTCCGAGGAGTTTGCATACTTCCTGGAATAATGCGCTTGCAAACTGAGTACCTCTGTCCGAGATAATCTGTCTCGGAAGACCATGCTGTGTCCATACCCTTTCATAGAAAGTACGGGCAAGGTCTGATGCTGAGAACTCATTGGTGATTGCAAAGAAATGCGCTCGTTTGGTCAAACGATCGACAACTACCATAATTGCGTTGAATCCATGGGATTCTGGTAATTGAGTGATTAAGTCAACAGAGACAATTTCCCAAGGTTCTGTTGGAACCTCATTTGGCTGTAATTCTCTGTATTTTGGCTGATTGATGTTCTTGTTGCGTTGACAAAGGTCGCAAGAACCAACATACTTTTTGACGTAAGTGGACATTCCCGGCCACCAGTAATTACGAGATAACATCTCATATGTCTTCCATCTTCCAGGATGACCTGCACTGGCAGTTTCATGATGACGCTGGACGATTTCTCATCTAAGTGATTCCTTATTATCTGCTTTCGGCACATAGACTTTGCCTCGGTATAGCAATATCCCACTTTCGAAGTTCCAGTCTTCGAGTCCTTTCGAGAACTCTCGTTGTCCTTTCTTGAGTAGGTCTTGATATGATTTGTTCACATTGTCGTCTTGTAACGCCTCCTTGATCTTGTCCACCAAATCATGATCTGTGACGACTGCAAGATGGGTATGTTGAATAGCTTTAATCGCGAAATATTCCGGTTTGAGCAGAGTTTTGTCGGAATTATCGAGATTTACCCCCTCTTCATGATCTGGCCTCCTGGACAGAGGATCTGCGCGATGCATTGATTTCCCTGGTTTGTGATGTAGTTGGATGTTGAACCGTGTAAGATATAACGACCATCGAGCTTGCCGTCTCGTCAGCTTTTGTGCTGATTTGAAATAGGTTAAGTTCTGGTGATCGGACCATATTTCGACTGGGAGCGGATGACCTTCGAGATGTTGTCGGTATTCTTCCAACGCTCAAATGATTGCGAGCATCTCTTTGTCATAGATTTCATAGTTCCGCTCTGCCTCATTGAGGCTTTTCGAATAGAATGCGATTGGATGCCACAACCCATCGTCTTTGAGTTGTTCGAGGCATGCCCCAGTGGCAAAATTGCTGGAATCCGTTTCTAACCGGAATGGATGCGTATCATCCGGTAATGCCAGAATTGGAGCTGTTGTGAAAGCTTTCTTGAGAGCATCGAATGATTGTTGTTGCTCTTCGCTCCATACCCATTTCTGATCCTTTCGTGTAAGGATATTGAGTGGTCGAGACTTTTTGGCAAATTCTTCAATGAATCGACGATAGAAATTTGCGAACCCCAGAAAAGCTTGGACTTGCTTAACCTTCTTGGGCTCAGGCCAGTCGAGTACACCTGCGACCTTTTGAGGATCCATACGGACCTCACCTTTAGAGATAATCATCCCTAAGTACTCAATCGAAGGTTGTTCGAAAAAGCACTTTTCTGGTTTGGCAAACAGGTCGTTGTCCCGTAATCTTTTAATTACATCTTTGGTAATTTTCCGATGTTGTTTCAAATCGTTAGTGAAGATTAGGATATCATCGAGGTAGACGATCACATGACCTTCCCGAATAAGATCATCTAAGATCTCATTCATCATGTGTTGGAAGGTGGCTGGTGCATTACAGAAACCGAAAAACATAACCGTGGCTTCATATAAACCGCGATGCGTCACAAAAGCTGTTTTCCATTCGTCACCCTTGCGGATGCGAACATTGTTGTATTCCCATCTGAGATCCAGCTTGGTGAATATTGACGCGTTACTGAGCTGATCGATAAGCTCGCTTATTCGTGGAATAGGGAAGCGATTCTTCTTGGTTATAGCATTAAGTTTTCGGTAATCTTGTACCAGTCTTAGTGTGCCGTCCTTCTTCTTGACAAAGAATACCGGGGCAGCAATAGGTGATTTCGATTTTCGAATGTAGCCTTTTGCTAGATTTTCGTCGATCCATGAATCTAAGGAATTTCTTTCCTCCGGATTCATAGGATAGAGTTTGCTTGGTCGTGGTAATTCATGTTCTTCTTCAAACTCGATTGCATGATCGTAAAGCTTTCGAGTTGGCATCCTTTCGGATGCTTTCTTGGAGAAGACATCACCAAATGAATGTAGATAATCTGGTACTAGTTTTTCCCAAGATTCTACTTCATTAATAACCTGATCTTCTGGGCTGCCAGTGTTTGACTGGGGTGCCGCTTCTTTCAGGTCTTCTTCTGGTTCAGCATAGCCGCAATCTGCTATGGAAAGTATCATGCGGGCTATTTGTTCGGCTTCGGGGTCATCCATTTCGACCCACGAGATGATAGGATTTACTGCATCGATGTTGTGTCCATTAAACATTCGGAATGCAGTTGGCTCCTCATCTGCCACTTGTTGTGCTCGTTGCGAGATTTCTTCAGCTTCCTCTCTCGCAATGGCTTGTTGTTTTTTTACGAAGCCTCTGGTGGTGACACGTACTCGGGCATCGTGAATATTTTCATTCTCCAGCTTGCCAGTTGATTTCTGGGTTATGCTGACGTAAATATGACATCCCAATGATCATGTCTAACTTCCCGATGTCCGTGACTAGCAGACGGTGGGTGGAACCATGATCTCCGACTTTGAGATATGCTTTTACATATTCGGTTATTTCACCATGTTTATTTTGGGATCCGTCAGCATTGTACACTTTGTATGTAGTGTTTAGCTTGGAGGTCGCAATTCGATTGTTTTTTACGAATCGCTTGCTGATGTACATGGAATATGCTCCTGAGTCGACTAGAGCTTCGGCGCTCGATTTTTTGCCGTACACCCATAATGTAACTGGTAAATAGAATGATGATAAATTTGGAGACGAATTCTTTATTGTTACATTATCATCCTCTGCGTTGCGACGATCTACAGAGGTGTCTGATTCGG